AATTTCGTACATATATGTATACACACAAAGTCTACCCTGATTTTAAACCTAAAAAAGGATAATTTTATAATTAAAATATCACAATGTATATAAATATATGTATGTATAGACATAAGTGCTTTACCTGATCATCGTGAATATGCTGCTGCAGCACGGTAGTAGACATCTATCCAAGTGCCTATGGCTTGTTAGTTCTTTGGGAGCAGAGAAAACCTCGCACCAGCTTCAAATTCCTTGATGTAAAACAACAATAATAACTGTCCAAACTATCGATGCTTTGGAGAAGAAACCACTCTTCAAACTTCTCTCCAAATTTATTGGAGTTTAGAGGAACATTGGAGGTTTATTAATAGATCTCTTGGATCTTATCATCATATCATAACTTAACTACAGAGATATCGATAAATGTCTTAAATCTTATCATCATATGCTAATAATTACTTCTATTACATTTGGTTTTTGTTCCTTAAAGTAGACATAAAAGGGTACCCTTTTCCTTTCCTTTATGTAATACTTATCTCTTTGCGTAGACGCCACCAGACCCACCATTGTCTTGGAAAAATTAGCTATACACGCAAGACTTACCTTATAAGAAATGGCAAAACCGAGCAATACAAATCATGTACAACCAGTGTATGAAATATCTCTTTTGAGTTAAATCACGAGACAATTATCTTTTACAAATTTTGTAGTCTCAACATAGATGACTGATCTTTGATTGAATAAGAGAATAGATTAATCAAGGTGCGCACAAATTTAGGCTAGACATCTTTGACCGCAATACTGAAAAAAAAGAAATACACATTGTTTGTAACTTTGTGCCTAAAAATGACAATAAATTGAATAGTAATTTTAACTAAGGTAGAAATATATTGGTGGTTCATGAAGTAATTATATTTTTTTTTTAACGGTGTCTACTAGAGAAATTTTTTCATTTTTGGCTTTGAGTTTCCATTTGCCAAATACAAATAGTCGATAGTATCATAGTTGTATTGAATATTGCTCCCTGCAAATGCAAGATGCAATTTTTTGTGAAGGAGTAGAATGGATGACATGGCATTGAATCATCCGTTCAGGGGCGGCTCAACGTAAATTGAGGCTTAAAGCGGTAATACTAAATGAGACTTTTTTATTTTGACTATTATTTGTTTTAAAAAAAATTTAATTTTTTTTAAGTGAGAAAGGAGGATGTGATTCTTTGTTTTTGTTTTTTAAGATAGAGTGAGAGAGAGAGAGAGATTTTATTTATTTATTTTTAAAATTTTTGATTTTTGAGTTTCTAATATTATGAATTGAATGATAGGTTCAAATTATTGAAATTATAATTTTTTGATTAAGCTTAAATTTTTTGGGGCCTTCTTATAAGGCCTAAAATTTTCATGGATTTAAAATTTTTATGTGAACTAGTTATGTATCTACAATTATGGAGTCTTATAAAAAATTGGATCCTAAAACTCATACTTTTTTTTTAATACTATTGGGTCGGCCCTGCATCCGTTACATTGCGCATACAGAGGCTTGGAACCACCTGTTATCGGCATCACAAAACCCTGGCAATATACTTGAAATTCAAACCCGTCTAAGACTTTAAGGTGAGTCCATCTAATCTTATAACACAAAAGTAATGTCAAAATTATAATTGTTGAATGATTTGATTTAATTTAATAAAATAGTATTGACTCTTTTCGGCGTACTTTTCATGTGTATCGTCATTTGATTCTCGGTGGATTTGGTGATAATGAGGGTTTGATCCGTATATTTTTCGATCTTTGATTTAGTGTTGACTTTGGTAGATTTGGCAAAGACAAGGATTTGACTAGCGTATCACTTAATTTTTGACTTAGTGATACTTTGATAGATTTTTTCTTGNGGTTTGACTAGCGTATCACTTAATTTTTGACTTAGTGATACTTTGATAGATTTTTTCTTGAAGATGAGAGTTGGATTGGTATGGTTCTCGTTCTTCGATCTTTGATTTGGTAGATTTGATGAAGGCAAGGGTTAAATTGACGTAAATTGGCGTAGATTTGACTTGGCTTTGTCCAATCTTTTTACCGTTCTTTGTGTTGAATGACTTAAAGATGATTTAAATTTCTTGAAGAATGACATTAATGATATTTCTTTTCCTCAGAGATGAATTTGCAAAACCTCAATTGGGAGTAAACTCCGATAGAACTTCGTTGTTGACCTTTCTTTCTTCTCCGGAGATAGACTCAAACAAAGCTTTCTTAATTTTCCTTCGTTCTTGGCCTTCTCTTGCTCTTCATTCTTGGCCTTCTCTTTGGCTCTTTTTTTTTTTTTTTTTTACTTCTCCCATACCTNTATATTTTTCGATCTTTGATTTAGTGTTGACTTTGGTAGATTTGGCAAAGACAAGGATTTGACTAGCGTATCACTTAATTTTTGACTTAGTGATACTTTGATAGATTTTTTCTTGAAGATGAGAGTTGGATTGATATGGTTCTCGTTCTTCGATCTTTGATTTGGTAGATTTGATGAAGGCGAGGGTTAAATTGACGTAAATTGGCGTAGATTTGACTTGGCTTTGTCGAATCTTTTTACCGTTCTTTGTGTTGAATGACTTAAAGATGATTTAAATTTCTTGAAGAATAACATTAATGATATTTCTTCTCTTCAGAGATGAATTTACAAAATCTCAATTGGGAGTAAACTCCAATAGAACTTCGTTGTTGACCTTTCTTTCTTCTCCGGAGATAGACTCAAACAAAGCTTTCTTAATTTTCCTTCCTTCTTGGCCTTCTCTTGCTCTTCGTTCTTGGCCTTCTCTTTGGCTCTTTTTTTTTTTTTTTTTACTTCTCCCATACCTCTATTTATAGTGTTGGAGTAATTATCTATAAATTTTTTTTTACCTAAATACCCTTATATGGGCTTAGGTAGTGGGCCACTCATTTTTATATAATTTTATGGGCTTTAGTTAATTTATATAGAATTTAAATCCAACCAAATTTACCTTTAAAAGTCTTTTTAATTTGAACTTATGAAATTTAAGTTCAAACAAATTTAATTAAATTTGAACTTATATTATTTGAGCTCATGGAATTTAGGTTCAGCTTAATTTAATTTAACAAGCCTTGTAATCAAATTTTGACTTACATTATTTGGGTTGTGGAATTTAGGGTAAACCCAATGTAATTTATCTAATTGTTAGCACAATTATAGATATTAATTTATTAATTTTTAATGTCTACACAAGTAATGAGGAATTTATCTTTCATGAATACCCTAATTTTAGCATAGATGACTTGTCTTTAACCGGAATAAAGAGAAAATTAGTTAAAATATATATAAGTTGATTGGGACACCACTCGGCCCTAGCCATTGAAAAAAAACAAGGGTTTCTTGGCAAATTACAAGCATAAATCAAACAGGAAGAAATCATAATCTTTTGGGCAATTTCGATCAACTGAAGCCTACAGTTCCATAGAGATCTTTAAGGACACACATTGAAGGGTTTTTTTCCTTAAGAAGAAGAGGGACCTTCCAAACGAATATAGTCATACATAATCCCTTGGAAAGGGCTAGTGCTCTTTGCTTGTGTCAAGAATATGGTATTAATATCGCCTCCCACAAGTTGAGAACCAGTTATGTCCACATTGAACAGCCAGTAAAGCCCATGAATCCCATGCCTTGCAATTGCGTTATCCCATCCAATTACTCCACTTGAAAATAGAGGAGGGTCCGCTTCTCGATCATTAATCCGAACCTTGGAGAAAATTTAACGCCATGGTCAATTTACATGAAAAAGGATTGGGATATTCTACAGTATGTCTTTTCTTAGATTTTTTTTACTTAATACTAGATCATCTATAATTTAAATAGATAAGAATGTACAGCGGAGGGGTTCCAAATCCCAGTTATTGGGAAATGAAATTAAAGGGATATGTAAGTTATAAAGTGCAGGGTTTTTCCTTCTTATTTATTTAAAGTGGAATTTAATGAATGTAGGCTCGTGCAATTCATACCTGTAATTCAGAATCATACCTGTAATTCAGAACGATGTGCAGACGCAAGCGCTAACCGCAATTTATAGATTTTAGTATGTTTTACGTTTTCAACTTTGAACTTGATTTGCCAGGTAGTACTTTTATATGTGTTATTACCAGCTTTCCTGCAATACAAGAAGGTTAACAATAGGGTGTGTGGTGGGTGGGTGGGTGGGTTAGCAACAGGCTTCAATGGAAACACTACCTGGTAACCTGAGCAAAAAACCAATCATTTTTATAGTCACTTCTGCCAACTTCGTAAACCAAATCTTCATCAGGATATAAATCTGCATATCTTTCCCACAATCCATACTGTCTAAACCTGCTCAAATAAGTCAATGATCGAGAATCAGTGTTGAATATGGCCAAAACAAAAAAAAAGGAGGAAAAAATTGGACTCGCTTAACATTTTTAAATCCTAATAACCTTGAAGAAATAAGTTTTAGAAGTTTTAGAAAATTGGGTATTAAGAAGATCTAACCTATCAGGATGGTTCACATAGAGCTTGTTGATATAATTCGGATTAGGATCCGGGNTATAGAGCTTGTTGATATAATTCGGATTAAGATCAGGAACATAAAATTCTGCCGCAGAACGGTCGGGAATGCCAATTTCCCAAAGTGTTGGACCATCTCTTGGAGGCTCATATACAAGATCTCCCACCTTAGTATGACAACCTGCTTTGCCATTCAATTTAATACTTATAACGGTCTAACTAAAGTTTGACATTCTTATCAATAGTAATTGTAGAAATATTATAAAACTGAAACAGCTTAAGACCTGAGGTTATATTAATTGCAGTAGTATATCGATAGTCCCCGATAAATCCCGGCACAAATGCATAAAGATTATAGTTTCCAGCTCGTATATTCTTAATGACAAAATGGCCACCTTCATCTGCCGTGGTCCAAAATTGGTAGCCCTGATGAAACACACAAGGAACCAATGTGCTTATTTGTTCAATAATAATTTGGAATCATTGTTTAGTAGCTTTAGTAATATTAAAAACTAGTTATTGTTTGTGCATAAAGGCACAAAGTAATAAAAAATAGTAAAGAATAAATATATTTGTGATTTATATCCAAAATTAAATCACAAACATAAAAAAAAAAATAAAAAAATAAAGTGTCATTTTGTAGTGGAGATGAGAAGTGATGAGCGACAGTGGTGGTGATAGGAAACGGTGATGGTTGTGGTGGGTGACAATGACTGGGGTGGTGGCGGTGGCGGTGGCGGTGGCGGGTAAAGGTAGTGATGGGGCGATTTCAAATACTAATTTTTTTAAAGTATTTATAAGAAATAATTTCTAAAAATACTTTTAAAAAATCACTTCAAACACACCCTTAGAGATTTATTTTTCCTATTAAATTTAAGGTGTTAATATTAGCCGTTAGATTAACTTTAAAGTAAAATTTAAAACGATCTCAACCGCAAATAGCAAAAGTCATTTTGTTTATCTTTTGAAATTTGAATTTTAAGCTACTTTATTATATAGATATAAAAGTTGTCGGGTTGAGGCGGGCCATGAAGGAGACCCATGATCCTACCGACCAGGCTCATGGCCACTCCATTAGTCTCCACATAGCGGCCCAGATCAACAAATGGGGGGTGGGTTTCTGGATTTTGGGCCAGCCTGTGGGCCATAAGTTTTTCTTTTTTTAAGTATTAAGTTCATTCTCAATTCAGTCAAAAGTAAGATTTAAAATCAAAAAATTTGAGTTTATATCTCGTTCCTGTTATTACTTTATTTATGAAACCTTACCTTGCATTCTCTTTGCCATGATCCAAGATCCCCGGGAGGCGCCAACCCCACATATGCACCTTTCGCTGGTATCTGTTCCTCACTAATACACCTAATCAAGTTTATGCAAAAACAAGAATTTCATCAAAAAAAAAAAAAAGGCATAAAACCTTCACTGGGGTTCAATTAGAACTGGAAAAAAAAAATTGCAAATGAGGGCAAAAAAGTCACAAAAAAAAAACCTGTCTTGTACAAGCAATCTGCCCCAAACTGTGCCTCTCTGATCAGACCTTGGGAATTCTTCTGATGCTGGGAAGCTGTATGGCCAGGATTGGACTTCTTTGTTCATCTGATCTTAAGACCAGTTTGAAAGCGTGAGAACTTATTAATAAAAAATTCAAGCGTCCTTTTATATCTAATTATTTCAAAAATCAACTTGCATTTTTTCTTGCATTTTTTATGGATTAATATTATTTTTTAGTCTTATAGTACGTATTTTTTTATCAGTATAACACTATTTGTATTAATTTGGTCTCTAAAGTATTCAATTCGTGTCATTTTGATCTATATGGAGACGGACCGTCAAGTTTTTTGATAAAATTAACCACGTGTCATTTTTTTAAACGGTATCACATATCCAACATTCTGTCAAAAAACTTACCTTCTATCTATTTCTAGATCAAAATAATACGAATTGAATACTTTAAGATTAAATTGACAAAATTAATACAATGAGAATTAAATTAACAAAAAAAACACATGGACCAAAAATACAATAAACCTTTTTTTTATTATATATTTTAGTTCGAAGCCCAAACCTGTTCTTTGGCATCATCCCATAGCGATAGGGCATCGGCTTCATCTGGTACGGAATTGAGATAGCTAAAGACCGGGCCCAAAACTTTCTTCCATATCTCCCCGGTTTCAAATTTTACTACAAGATCCATGCCCGCGTAATGAGAAGTGACAAATATCTGGTGTGCAATAATATTTACCAATATTACTGATAGGAGAGAATTGCCAAAATTAGTTACTAGATGTGACATGTATATGCGATGCAAATGAAACTATACAAATTTGGAACATTTGATTTTGGCCAAAATTCGAATTCGGAGGGTAGATTTCATCCCGAATCGCCCCATGACAAGAATTGTGTAGTCAAGATTTGGATTTATATATTTTTTTTGTTCAATGGTCAAGTGTGTCTGAATTAATTTATGTGTAACTCGATTAATCTCCTTCTCGGTCCAGTTAAAAGTAGATCATTCACGCCGGGATTATAGTATTCATCGGAGACAAAATATTTCATGACCTGACCTCAAGAGTTGCCAAATTTTAAACTTAAGAATTTTAATTTATAATCTATCTCTATTACAATTTAAGATACCTTAGAAATTTGATTTGGGCTCATAATGTAGACAAAGGCCAACAAATTTTAAGGGAGATGATATGGCTAAATCATGATCGCGAGACTTTGATTGTGCAGACCGGTTTTGGCAAAAATTCAAATAGGTACGGGCCACTTACAGCAAGGGTGGTTGGGTTCACATGGGAGGTTAGGTCCTGTTTGATGGGTCCTCCAGTTCGGAATTCATTGCTAGGTGTGATTTGCCAGAACCCCAAGGGCGGGTCAAAGCATATCCACCCGTGAACCCGGTTATCTTTGTTCTCACTGGAGTACTGGTACTTGTCATCCACCTGCACATCAAGTTTTACAGAAAGGAGATTAAGAGTTCGTCTCTCTAGCAATTACAGGACACCAGTGGCAGAGCCAGAATTTTGAGAGGATGTTGAATATGTGGATACGAAAAACTTAGGATTTTTTTATAAATATAATATAAATTTAATGGGGAAAAATACAATTTTGAAAACCTTATGGTCCCCCGATGCCAGAGCATGGCTCCGTAACAATTAGATATATATGATGAAAAAATCTAATGATGTAGTGAAGTATAGGAATAATTTTGAAGGAAGAGAGTGTTGTAGGTAGAATTACCTCTCCTTTGAATTCTGGCTCTATTGGATTGACAAGAAGGACTGCCTCGGGGTATGCCAGTGCTTGGCCTCTTTCCGGTAACCGGTCGTCTGGATCAGGCATGAACCGTTGTCTATTATCCGCTACGGCCATGTAATGAAACCTAAATTCGTGATAAACTATTAATTGTTTTTACAATTGCACGCAAATATATTGATTTTTTACTGTAATTAGGGGTGCAAAATGAATCAAAACCAGCCAAAAACTAGTCTATTTGAACTCAACTCATTCATTCACAAAGAGTGATTGAGATCATGGTGAGTTTCGACATTTTGTTGAAACTCGACTTGTTAAGTTTTTCCTACATTGGTTCAGCTCGGCTCGATTAATTGAACGAGCTGAGCTAAGTTTGCGCATGTAAACTTACCTTGAAGTTCTGACTGGTGTTCAAGATGACTGTCATCTCATGTCAGTATATTATATATTTTGCCTTATATACAAACTTCATGATCACAAGTTGAGTCTACACGAATTGACTAAATTATTACTCTGGCTCGACTCATTTACCCTAATATTTAGGATGGTTTCCAATGATCGATTCGTTGAGTTATAACTTATCCTACCTAAAACATCGCAACTTTTGGTATAATATGGCAGAATAGTTCTTACTTGTCTTTCCTGAGCATAAAGGCAATCCTGGTTGTGTTAAGGTTGAATGCAGGCATATCCTCTTAAGTGTTCGAAAATCGCGTAGGAGTAAAATCCCGAGGAACCACGAAGCATTACAAACCTAGAAAATCATCATCAACATCACCAATTAATTAGTATAATTATGTCACTCATAAAAAAATTAAAACATACACAAACTACTTATTCAAGGACCTTCTGTCTATATATAAGGGGGCCTGCTTGCCCTGGACCGAGGAGTCCCACACTCTTGTGAATGAGAGCTCTACCTGTTCTTCATTTTCCACTACTACCTCCAAGCTCGTTCCTTCAATCCTGCATTGTTACATATTCTTAGCTTCTCATTCTTCCTCGAATGTAAAGATATAGATTTTCAGCCTGAGAGAGAGAGAGAGAGATGTACGTGTCGAATTGTCCCCTTGTTCCTGAACTTCCCGAGTCACTCCAGTTAAGGTCCCAGAACCTATGTACTCCATTAGAGAATAAAGTTAATCCATTTTCCTCTAAGTACAAACCAATGCAACAATTGCAGGTTGATTAAATATAAACTTTCATGAACCATTTAATAAGAGCACAGATAAAAAGAATGAGTTTTATGATCATATGTTGCAAAATTTTGTTTCCATCTCAAGTTATAAAAGAAACCTTACAAATATTGGGTGTAACGGTGATACCGCATCATCAATGTCACGTGATGTCACTAATCAATTATAAAATAACAAATAAACCTTGGCACCATGGGATCCCACATCTGATGGTTCAGGCTAGGAGCTAAACCTTGGTAAGTGCCAAACCTACAGCTCGGCCCACACCCTAACCCGGTGATGTTGGCCCGTCCCGACTCATGGTCAACCCTTCAGCGGGCTATGCACTTCTGAATCCTATGGGAGGTTGTAATGTAAAACTTTGTCTGAACATCCAATAAGAATGGGAAAAGAGAGATAAGAGAGCAGATGTAACACAATTCCTGTACCCTCCATTCAAATCTTTGTTGTGAAGTTCAAGCAAGTTGTCAATTCCGCCATATTCTATTCCTCTGAGAATTCCCCCTGGATTTGTCAGTGTGATTTGGAGTACTCCATTTCCTATCAGAACCTGCACTGATATTTTCTAATTAAATGACTGATAAACAAAATCAGTAGATTTCTGGCACAAACTGATCCAAGAACAGTGTATATTTTCAAATAAACTTCTACCCTTTTGCATCATTGGTATAAATTTTTTTTTTACCTCCACAAACACACATATAGGCCTGTTAATTACGGATGTGATTCGCTTACCCACTACGGAATTAGTGGCTTTGGATTTAGTCTTAATGAGTTTGGGAGGTAAATGAGTGAACCCGATAAACTTGTTAAATAGATGCATCCACATGAACCCAATTAAACACGATACGAACATGCTAAACACGATGTATGCACGAATATGAATTCAATTTTACGTGATTATAAATAAGATGTGTGTAGATTGAGCAAATTTTAACTCGACACAAACCTGACACGATACGACCGATGAGAGTCCTATACAAACAAATTTATGCAAACACGAGACAGACACAAAACTGGAAAGAAAAATCCAATTGGCAATTGATTTACATGATCATCTTGAATATGCAGCTGCACTCCTGTAGCAGACATTGATTTGAGGCCACAGCTAGCTCTTGTAACTTCTTCAGCACAAAGGAAAATCCTATTCTGATACCCAAACAGCAGTAAATTTCTGAAATTGATGACACAGCATATAATTATTATACATATGAGAAACCCACTAGGATATGAAAAGGAACCATTTTCACCAATTACCTGATCAGTAGAATCTGGATAAAGAATGCAAGCAGTTTGAAGCTGGAAAGCTTGTAGTGTTTCCGGATTGGTTCATATAGAAAGAGACAAAGCATAGTGTGTTTGTTTCCTTCTCTTTCTTTAGTGCTATCCCGTGACTTTGAAGGAAGGGAACGTAAAGAAGCTAAAACACCACGCCAATCAATAAAAGCAGGAGTTACCTATGAAATAATTGTCCTTTATTTGTTTTGCGTGCTAAAGGCAACAGTATCTTAACTCTAAGTAATTGTTTGTTTTTTTTTTGATCAAAAACTCTAAGTAATTATTGAAACGCATGCTTAAATATAAGAGTTTCATGTATTAAATTAGAGTGAGTATCTAAACATAATCAAGTAATTAAATACAAAGTAAATTCGACTGGACACGACTTTAAATGAGTTGGGTATGAGCTAAACATGTTTTATATCTAATTTTAAGATATCCCTTAGCTTTATTGGAATCCAATTGCTTCGAAGATGCATTTTGTTATGCATCGTAGCAACCCAATGAACAGCCTTGTTAAAGGCTCCGGGTACATGAAAAAAACTATAAATACAAGTTCTTGGCTATAGTACTAATGTCAGTGATGAAAACTACAATTTGCCATGGTACTCCCTCATTGGAACTGAGCTGGATGACTTTCTCATTGTCACTTTTGAGTTAAAATTCAGTTTTATATTGCCCGAATACTAAAAGGGGTGCGGCAGAGCCTATAATCTTATTCAATGGAATCATTCAACTAGTTATTGCTAATGTCGACTTTTTAGTTGCATCCAATAAGATTAGAAAAATTAATCAAATTTTCCCAATAACATATAAAATAATTCTAGATCAATTCATCAATAAATTACATTATATACTCAATTAAATCAAATAATTACTCAAGTACAACTAAATATAACCTTAATCTATTACACAATCAACAATTTCACCATAAATGCACCATTTATACATCAATTTCATCAAATAACATAACTAATTGAGGGTTTTTTTCCTAAAAACCCCGAGGAGCGTAGTGAAAATGTTATCAACTAAATTCTCGATTTAAGAGATCCCCATTTTTGCTCCTTAATGAGAACACATTCAAACGATCGGATTAGAATTCAAAGAAGAGGGACCTTCCAAACGAATATAGTCATACATAATCCCCTGGAAAGGACTGGTGCTCTGTGCTTGTGTCAAATAGACGATATTGCCCCCTTGCACGAGCAGATGTCCCACTATGTCCACGTTGAATAGCCAGTAAAGACCATGGATCCCATGCCTCGCAATTGCATTGTCCCTCCCTATAATTCCACTTGAAAACAGAGGAGTACTGCTTGGATTTGGATCGTTGATTCGGACCTACGGGTCGATGGATTCAATGAGCACCGTAGGATGGGGGAGAGGAACATAGATGGTATTGTACAGTGTATACCTGTAGTTCAGCTTGCGCCGCTGATGCAAGTGCCAATCGCAACGTGTATTTTCCGGTTTGATTGACGTTTTCGAGTTTGAACTTGATCTGCCATGTGGTTGCTTGGTATGTTTGGTCGTCTTTTTTCCTGTAATGCAAATTGCATGAGATCCGCTTATACATTGGAAATCAAAGTTAGTATTTCAATAGTTATAAATGATTAAGCCAATAAATTAAGTTGAATATTGTTCCTCAGTAGTAAATAGCTTGCCTAACTTCAAAAAAAAAATGAGAGACTGAAAATTCATTGAAACGAATGTCATTAGGTCTCAGTTCTCACCTTGTAACTTGAGCAAAAAACCAATCTTTCTGATAGTCGCTCTCTCCAACTGTATACACTAAGTCTTGATTAGGATATAACTCTGCGTATCTCTCCCACAATCCATACTGTCTGAACCTGCCATTTCAACAAGATTTTGGGTTGTTGGATCATAAGATATAATGCCATTTAGCTTTCAAAATCCTTTTTAAGAAGATGTCTTTTGGCATTAGCTGCATATGAAATTTTTTAAATCAAATTCAAGAACAGTCTGTTCAACACAAAGGTCTGTGAAGTTGAGTAGCTTTTAGAGGTGCAAGCTGGGTCGGTTGGGCATAAGAGAGTTGAAACTAGACTCGACCTTAACTTGAACCCGAATTCAATTGGAAACAAAACATTCAACCTAAATATTGGCATGCCTAAATGCTTTTGGGGTTTGGGGTTGGGCTTCTGGGCTCCTCTAGGTGCACTAGCACCACGTTTGGCTGAGTTGAAGTAGGATTCAGTTTTTAATTGGAAATCAAGAGCGATCCAAGTTTGATTCTCGGCTTACACAATTCAGGATAAAATTCGATTGGAATTCCGGGCTCAAAACCAGAAATCCCAATCCACGTATTGCATGAATATTCATTGGTTTGGAATTTTTTTGCTCAAGCTCAATTGCATTATTAAAGAATTTGATTAAGACTATTTCAACTACTTCAAGTTGAGTTAGGGTTGGGCCCGACTTGACACATCCCAGTGTAATATTACTAACTATTATATGTTATGATCTAATTTTCAAAATCGATGGAACATTAATTTTGTACTAAGGTAATTAGTTAATAAGAACCTGTCAGGATGATTGACCAAAAGTTTGTTGATGTATTTCGGATTAGGATCAGGAACATAATATTCTGCAGCAGATCGATCTGGGATGCCTATCTCCCACAATGTAGGCCCATCTCTCGGAGGGTCATACACAAGATCACCCATATCAATATCACAACCTGTTTTTACATGTTTTCTAATATCATGATATGTATAATGTGAAGAATTTAAGGAAAATGTATTGAAAAAAGGTCGAAAAAATAGGACCTGGGGTTATTGTGATGGCAACATCACATCGGTAATCGCCTATGAAACCCGTGACCCATGCATACAGATTATAGTCACCACTACGAATATCATTGATGGAGAAATAACCTTCCTCGTCTGATCTTGTCCAGAATTGGTAGACCTAATAAATTGTAAACATGGGTGTTACTTGCAAGTGAATGACTGTAATTGTTGCTTTTGGAGTGCTAAGAGTGAATTCGACAAAATTAGAACGATACAGAGAAGAGCGACAACATGCATTGTAATTTTTATGTTAATGATGATTTCTTAAGCATTGCTTTGCTTTTGGAACATTTAAAGATGGGATGGTCATTCGATACATGCTACTTAAGTAATTTAGGCAGATTAAGAGATCAACGTAAACTCAACACAAATTCGAATCCGACCATCAAATCAAGTACTGCCTACATTTTAAATTATTGAACTCAATTACACAAGTGTTTCAACTAGTATTGTGAATTCGGGTAAGCTGTCACCAAAATCACCTTGCATTCTCTTTGCCATGATCCAACATCCCCTGGTGGAGCCAAACCCACATACGCGCTGTGTTTCGATATGTAATCTTCACTGATGTACCTAAACAAGTAGGGTCACAAAGAGCTTACTTAAGAAATAAAGAGCGTGCAAAAAGACATCTATTCTTTATACTATGGGAGAGCAATGTGGCCAGGGCACATTGACATAGAAATATATTCCAATTTTGTTTTTAAAAAAATTGTTCAAACACAACTCGTTTTACAAATTAAACTCGAACCGAAATAGCTTGACTATTTTTAGGGTTGGCCCAACCAGTAGGCTGCTAAAGCTTGGGCTTTAGGCTCCACCCAAATGGAAGGACCTAAATTTTTATGTGTATTAATAGTTCATGTCAAAGTTTTACATTCATAATATGTTTAGGCTTTACAAAATGACCCTATACGAATATAACCCAATTAGAAAATTTTAAGCCCAATAAATAAGGCTCATAATTAGAAATCTATAAACGACTTAGCTGTATTATTTATTGAGAATGTTATACGAAAAAAATTGAAATGTTGTAACTTAATTTATATTTCCTCATTTCTTATCTAAAAGCAAAAAATATATATTTCGAATGAATGCAATTTAACATTTATTATTATTATTATTATTTTATTAAATATTAATATGACCTCATTTATAAATTTCGCTTTAGGCCCATAATTTCATTGGGCCACTCCTAACTATTTCATATACAAACGAATCTGAAAAATTATTCAAACTCGGTTCGTTTCCGAGCTCAAATAGGTCGGTTCAATTATCTCCTTGTGTGCAAGAATGAGCCTTTTAACCGTGGTCCCTCACATATTTAAATTAATTAAATATTTTGTTTAATTGAAAGTAATTGAACTATATTTTGTTTAATATTCTAGAGATACCAGAAAAATTAATTAAATAATAAAAAGACATCACACAGGGAAAACTGATTTTTATAAAAAAAAAAAAAAAATCGGGTGAAAAGTGTTAAGAAATATAGGGAGGGTTATTTTATTTATTAAGGGTAGAATAGTCTTTTATTTTCCCCACCTTATTTAGCTTATATATAGTCTTTTTGTATTTAGGTTAAATTATTTCATTGTATTCAATTAAATTATGCAGTATTAATAAAACTCTAGTCTCCTCTCTTTCTTATCTCTTGTATGTCTTTAGATTGCTTAACATGGTATCAGAGCAAAGTTTCATTTGACAAGGTTTAATCTAAAACACAGTTTTTTGAGAAAGTATTTTTTCCATTTTTGGCAATCTGGTTTTGTTTTGTTTTTGCAATCTGGTATTGATTCCCTTTTTGCAATCTGGTTTTCTTTGTTTGTTGATTATGACTACTACAAGAGACGATTCGCTTCAGTCTGTGAGTGTGAGGTTGGATGGAAAGAATTATTCGTATTGGAGTTATGTGATGAGAAATTTTCTTAAGGGTAAAAAGCTATGGGGATATGTTAGTGGAACTTCTGTGAAACCTAAGAATACTGATGCAGGTTATGCTGATTTGATAAATGTCTGAGAAGTAGACAATGCAAAAATTATTACTTGGATCAACAATTCTGTTGAGCACTCTATAGGTACGCAGTTGCCAAAGTATGAGACAGCAAAGGAGGTTTGAGATCATCTGCAAAAGTTATTCACTCAATCAAATTTTGCAAAGCAGTATCAATTGGAGTATGACATACGAGCTCTTTAACAAAAGAATATGAGTATTCAAGAGTTTTATTCTGCTATGACAGATCTTTGGGATCAATTGGCTCTTACAGAATCTGCTGAATTAAAANGAGTTTTATTCTGCTGTGACAGATCTTTGGGATCAATTGGCTCTTACAGAATCGGCTGAATTAAAGGCATGTGGTGCCTATATTGCTCGTAGAGAGCAGCAATGGTTGGTACAGTTTTTAATGGCACTTCGTAGTGATTTTGAAGGACTTAGAGGTTCAATTTTGCATCGTTCTCCACTTCCTTCTGTTGACTCAGTTGTCAGTGAGTTATTGGCTGAAAAGATACGTCTTAAGTCTTATTCTGATAAGGGAATTCTTTCTACTGCTGATACTTCTGTGCTAGCAGTACCTTCTAAACCATTCTCTCATAATCAGAATAAGCCTTACACAAGACCTGCATTCGACGAGTGCAGTTTCTGTAAGTAGAAAGGTCATTGGAAGGTTCAATGTCCTAAGTTAAGACAGTAGAATCAATCGCAACAGCAATCTCAAGCTTGAAAGTCTGGCAACCGGTCACAATCTAATGCTTCTAGACCACCTCAGGGTTACAAACCACCACAGTCTAATACTGCAGCAATAGTTTCATCAAGTCCTTTCACCGATTCTAGTACCTTTGATTGAGCAATTTCAGAAGTTTCTCTCCTTACAGCCACAAGCTATGTCTGTTTCTTCTTCAGGAGGTCAGTTGTCTCATAGTTCTCCAAGTATGTCACATTCTGTATGGGTCTTGGATTCTGGTGCCTCACATCATATGTCTCCAGATTCTTCATCTTTTGTTTTTGTATCTCCTTCATCTTCTATTACTGTTATGACTACTGATGGCACTCATATGCCTTTAACAGGTGTTGGTTCTATTGTCACACCTCACTTGTCTCTCCCTAATGTTTATCATATTCCAAAACTCACATTAAATTTTGCTTATGTTGGTCAATTATGTGATTCTGGAAATTTAGTCACATTTTCCTCTTCTTCTTGTTATGTGCAGGATCTGCAGTCTCAGAAGCTGATTGGGAAAGGCCGTAAGAAGGGAGGACTATATATTTTGGATGAGTTAAAAGTGTCGGTTACTGCTGCTGCTTCTAGTGTTGATTTATCTTCTTTTCGTTTGAGTCTTTCTTCTTCTAGTTTTATTTATGGCATTCTCGTTTAGGTAATGTTTTGTCTTCTCGTTTAAGATTTTTGGCATCCACAGGGGCTTTAGGAAATTTGAAAATTTGTGATATTTCTGATTGTAGTGAATGTAAACTGACAAAATTTTTAGCTTTACCTTTTAATCGAAGTATTTCTATTTCTTCTTCTTTGCAGACTGCAAATTTCTTTACTAAGTCGCATTCTATTTCCCGTTTTCATTTTCTAGTTGCCAAACTCTCGATGCTTGTCGCTGCTACATCGTGAGTTTGAGGGGAGATGTTAAGAAATATAGGGAGGGTTATTTTATTTATTAAAGGTAGAATAGTTTTTTACTTTTCCTACCTTATTTAGCTTATATATAGAGGGTTATTTTATTTATTAAGGGTAGAATAATCTTTTACTTTCTCTACCTTATTTAGCTTATATATAGTCTCTTTGTATTTAGGTTAAATTATTCTCTTGTATTCAATTAAATTATACAGTATTAATAAAACCCTAGTCTCCTCTCTTTCTTATCTCTTGTATGTCTTTAGATTGTTTAACAAAAAGATATTGAGAAATTACCTGTCTCGAACTAGTAATCTACCACTAACACTGCCCCGTTGAAGGGAGGATTGGAAATCCTCTGAGGCTGGAAAATTATAAGGCCAGCTTTGAACTTCTGTCATCATCTGCTTCCCAGTTAGAAAAGTCAGTCTTGTTGCACACTAGCCATATAACACAAGTAAATGTACCCACCCACATACACATTGTATAAGCATGTCAATTTGCACTGGATGCTACTAAATCCTTAGCTCCAAGTATTCTCCAGCTTTATTGGGTGACCCTAAGAAGGGTGTTTTTTTTTTTTTTTTTCTGTTACCGAAAGTCCGAAAAGTAATTTTTTTTAATGGTATATCATAAGTTACGATTTAATCATGTCAAATTATGATTAAATAATAAAGTTAGGACTCAATAATATCAACTTATGAAAAATATGATACCAATTCTAAATGTTTAATATTAATTTTAAAATTTTGAAACTTGCTGAATCGTCATTTCAACATCATTAAGTTAATGTTTAATCTCATTGAATCATAAATTTTTCCGATCCAACATCAAATTAAATATTTTTCTAAACCGAAAACCTTATCTTTAGCGTCCTCCCATAGCGAAAGAGGATCTTCTCCGTCAATGATAGTATTAAGATAGATAAAAATTGGTCCAAAAACTTTCTTCCATGGCTCTCCCTGTTTGAATTTAAGCACCAGATCGTCCCCGGCATAGTGAGCGCTGAGAAACACCTGGTAATGCCAGTGTCATCAAGATTAAAAATGAAAAAAAAAAAAAAAAAAAGAAGGGGGGGTTGTTTTTCATTCAATTTAATCTACCTATATAGAAGACTTCAAAAACACAAAGTTTGGATAAAAGGTTTCAGTCACTTACAGCAAGAGCAGTGGGACCCACATGAGAAGTAAGATTTTGTTTGAGGGGTCCACCAGATCGGAACTCATCGCTGGGAGTGATCTGCCAGAATCCCACCGGTGGGTCCATACATATCCACCCGTGGACCTTAAGATCTTTGTTCTCGCATGAGTATTGATACTTATCATCCACCTACATGGTACACATTTCAAAAATCATTTGCATCACCGTGCATAATCAATGGAGTGGTGGAAGAAGTAGTACCTCCCCTTGGAATTCCGGCTCCACAGGATTCACAAGCAGGACTGCTTCCGGGTAGGCGAGGGGCTGCCCTCTTTCAGGTAACCGGTCGTCCGGCAACGGCATGTACCTTTGCCGGTTATCTGCCATGGCCATGTAGTGAAACCTATCCATTCAACATAACTCATGTCAACTTAAGTATACGTTTTTTTTATTTATATATACAAATAATGTTATATATACTTAAATATTGACTTAATCAATCACTGTCATTGATTTAAATGTAAGTTTAAGTAAGTAGCATTTTTTTTCATACATCGATTGAATGCGAGTCTAAAAAGAACTAGTTGATAAATGATAATTATTTTTGATAATATCCCTCTTTGAATTGAGAAAGCAATTTTAGTTATATAAATAGATTGAGAAAATTTGTTTACTTGTCTTTCCTCAGCTTGAAAGCAATTCTAGTCTCGTCGAGGTTGAAACCAGGCCACTCTTTCAAGTGTTCGTAGATGGCGTAGGAGTAAAAACCCGAGCAACCACGCAGCAGTATAAACCTAGACAATGACCATGATCATCAGTGAGCATCCACAACCAACAATTCCAATTCTCAGTCATATTCATTCCCGAATGATTCAACCAAAAACCTTTTATCTATATTTAAGGGAGCAAGCTTTCCCTCGAGAGAAGCATCCCATGTTCTTGAGAATAAGACCTCTACCTGTTCCTCAGTTTTCATTATCACCTTAAAAGAGGTGGTTTCAATCCTGCATTGTGATTAGCTCATGGCTTCAATACAGGATTTAAAATTAGAAACTAAATTGCAGACCATACCATTAGAGACCTTTCAAAAGTTCCTGTACTTCCAGCTGGACTCCAAACAATGTCCCAGTACCTATATATTTTTTCAAGCAACTTAGCCACAAAATTGCAAATTAAGCGAAAGCTAATTTCATAAAGAGTCCAAGAATTTGGTAACAACATCTGGTTAGACTTTTAGAGGCGGGCTTTGGCGTAACAGTAATATTGTTCTATTGTAAACTGAAAGTCACGAGTTCGAGTCACAAAAACAATCTCTCTGTTTACATGGGTAAAGCTGCGTACATCTTACCCTCTCCAAATCTCGCAATGACAATAGCCTCATACACTTGGTATACTTTTTTATCTGATTAAACTTTTGATTATAGAAATCGAAAAAAAAATGCAATTACCCTCTATTTGTTTCATCATTAATAACTTCGAGGAGATTGTCGATGCCACTATATTTTATACCAGTGACTATTCCGCCTGGCTTGGATAATGTGACTTTGAGGATTCCGTTATCCATCACCACCTGAAAAAACAAACTGTGCATTCAGTAACAAGATCCGATCCGACGAGTAGGATGTTTGGTCTTTTTTTTTTGGTCAGACGGATACTTGGTCCTTAATTAGCCAGTCTAATGATCTTTCTATACAACATGCATGGCACTTACCTATTTCAAATCCCGTTATAAGTAGAAGATTTGTCTATTAATTAGTAATTAATTTTGAATTTATGAAAAACCGGTAAAAGATATGGTCCGGTGAGATATGCATGTTAAACCCAATATTATTTAGTGAGCTATTGTAATGGGCTTATGCAAACTTTTTATTTTGATGTGATTGAAGTGATTAATAATAATGGTTGTGATCGGACCTCAAGACTCTATAAAGAGACAGAATAAGTCTCATTAAATTTATCTTATCTCATTCAGAACAATTTTCTAAGAAGAAAGAGAGGAAGACATTGTCATCACCCATCTGCGAAAGGGATCCAGACATCGACTACAATTGCCGAAATAAGTATGATCTAAACATAATATCTTGGTGTTTCAAGCTCATATATGAATTATTGAATTTTTACACTTTTTACATCTTCATTCTTCACGTGTATAAATACAACTGTGAGAGACTCACTGAACAACAATCCAAAAATGCAAATTTTTTATAAGTTGACAAAATTAGACGAACTATGATTTCAAATCTCTATATGCATCTTTGTCATGCGTAGTTTCTACGCTTTAAAAAAAAAAAAAAAAAGGCTTACATGGCGACGTTGAACATGCAATTCCACTCCTTGTGATGACATTGATGGTCACCGTGATCTGCTTTCTACCTTCAGTCACAGTGAAAGCTCAGCATAAATGCTTGCAAATTAAGCACTGATTTCCGAATAATTAATAGCAAAATTGAATCTCTCAAGACTCATGAAGACTGTTGGGAAATGGGTGTTGATATCTTTACAACATGTCAGCTGTTTGGATGGAGGAACTGGAGGATGAAGGCTATTTACATGTACCAGACAAACCATGCTTTGCTTGAAATAGAGAGAAGACATTGCTTTATTTAGTGACTTAGATAATCTCTTTACTTATTCGTCACCACTGTTTGGTGAATTGACATAACTTGCATGAGTCGCTACGAAGGGAAGCCAAAAGCGTAACTATGTGAAAATCATGAATAATGTGTATGCAAGAGAGATCTGTGTTTTCATGAAAAATTTATATTCTTTACGCAAGATAGGGTGGGTTTTGATGTAACGGTAATGTTGTTCTATTAGGACATGAAGGTCACGGGTTCGAGCGACGGAAACAGTCTCTCTGCTTATAGAGATAAGATTGTGCATATCTAACTCTCCCCAGATTTCGTAATGACATGAGCTTCTGGTTATGCCTTTAGACAATTCGGTTTACCATGACATACTATGTGCTTAAAGCTAATATACAATAATCTCTTAAAATTGAAACCAGCTGGACCATATCCTCCATTTAGTGCCAAACACCTTTCTATTTCTTTAAATGGGAGAATCACTCTGTTATAGGCGAGAGTCGTGTGCAATGCGTTTTTCTATTATTCTGATCATTTTGTGTGAAATCATTGGCATGACTAAATGTAACTGGTATACCCATTATAGATGATGTGTGTGAATCTGGGACTCTGCTGCATGAGATGAGATCCCCAAAACAAATTATCATTAGATGGAGACAATAGTAGGATTTTTGTTACTTTTACCAAAAAATAATATGTCCAACCTCTTTAATTAAAGTTTGATACTAAAAGAGATACTTTATTTTCTATTACTTTCTACTTTCCAGCCTGAGAAACATTGCAATTTTGAAGAGGAAACAAGTATTTATGTAATATGTAGGGTTTTCTTTCATATTGGACTTACGCTCTATGGCAGTTCTTAGGATCACCTACTGATTTTTCATGCTATTAATACAAAATTATGGAGTATGAGTTTATTTTTATCGAATTTGAGTCACAGTTGAATTGAACATTAAGAACCACTCAATAAATGAATCGACAAAACCATTTAATAAATGAATCGACAAGGATTCAACTTTGTACTAACATAACATATTCTTGCAAATCATTGGTTTTTTTTTCAATTGAATTTTGTAGGGGAAACCTCCTTTTAGGTTTTGAGTATATGACCCTTCAAAAAAAAAAAAAAAGTGAGCGGTTTAGTACATAAAACTCTCGTTGCTGCAGTGTCTGCGGAGGTCAAATGTACACAATTTTATTCCTACAAGCAGAGAGACTCTTTCAACGACTTGAACTCTTGATGCCAAGATCACAATGAAGCAACCATTAAAGACTTGAACTTACAATTTTGGAATGAGATTTCCTCCAACATATTTTCTTTCAATTTAACTCAAATGTAGATCATCAACTAGCATATATAGTTACAGACCTACATATAAATTATTAGGACGTACATAAAATAATGGAGGGTGATTTATCCTCAAATGAAATTGAATCAAAATTTATTGGAAGAGATTTATATTCTATACTTAAATTCTGAAAAAAGAAAAACACACAAAGCACCACAAGGCTCGGTTAATGTTGCTGTTCTTTTCTCTTTCCTATTTCCAATTCACAACAATGGGGGAAGAGGAGATTTGAACCTTGAGTATCCACATGGTCACAAATGAAACTTTTTTAGGAATAAAACCGTGGCTGTTATTATTAAAGTATTGTAGAACAACTTATTTTGAAAGGTATTGGCTAGGAACAAAAATAAACTTGAACACCTAACACAAATTAGCAGTAGAGGGACTTTCTAAACGTATATAGTCATACATGAGCCCTTGGAAAGGACTGACACTCCTTGGCTGCCCCAAAAATATGGTATTGTCCCCTTGGACAAGCCTAGCACTTGGTATATCCACATTGTAAAGCCAGTAGAGACCATGAATCCCATGCCTTGCAATTGAGTTGTCTCTCCCAATTAGTCCGCTTGTAAACAGGGGACGAGGTGTATTTGGATCATTAACCCGAACCTATAAGGAAGAAATTTCGATCAGTACCAATGTCAATCAATGATTCCTGCAACAAGGGGCATTCATTAGTTTGCTGGTTAAAATTCGACTTTGTAAACTGGGTGTTGTTTACTTTAATTTTGAGGACTATCACTACATTCTAAAGTCAAATGCTAGATTTTTTCGAACGTAACCCTCCTAGAATCTCATTAATGGAGACTAAACTGTGTGTACTTGATAATAAATCTTGCATTTGCTACCCCAAGCACAAAAAATAAAAAAAATAATTTTTTTTTTTTTTTTGGGGGAGAGAAGTTTCCCATCAATTACTTGAATTGATTTTACACTACTCCAAAACCAAACATTCGTAAGTCTTAAGTGGAAAATGCCCATGTGTAAGGAAAACATTTCTCTCTATTTGTAATTGGGATAATGATCAAAATTTTGTTTCGAAACAGTCAAAAAATTTCTATTTTCAAGGATATCGAAATAAATCAGTGATGAAATCGAAATTTTAATACTTCAAGGTATCTCATAATGTTTTAATGCATTTACGCAATTGTTTCAAAATGTTTCAAGTTATTTTAAAGTATTTCAGTATATTTTGACCAATGTTTTGAAGAAATAATTCTTAATTTTTTTTATTTTTTTCATTATGATTTTGAAACGGATCAAAATTTTCAAAAACTCGTCGAAACGCTACCATTTCCTAAGTGAATGGAATAATATACTGCAACAAAATTTTGATTCTTGATTGGGGCAAGATAAAATAAAAAGCATTAGTTGCAAGTGCAATGTGGAAATCGTGATAATTAAGGCACTAAAACCAAACTATTAGTTCTAGTAAGAGGTGCAACACGAGAACTTGATAAGTTGAGGGGGCAATACAAGGCACTAATATAGTTAAGGGATCAAAGCATAATTTTTTCCAAGAAAAAAGATTGTCAATCTTGCAGTACTATACCTGCAATTCAGCAAGAGCTGCAGATGCAAGTGCCACTCGCAATTTGTAGGATCCACTCTCAACATTGTCAAGTTTAAACCTGACCTGCCAAGTGGTTCCTACAAATGTATTGTCTCCCTTATACCTGCAATGCAAAAAAAGCTTGCTACCTAAAAAATATTCAAACACAGAAAATAATTGCTTGTTCACACCAACAACCAGCATTTGACAGCAAATAAGTAGAGCTCTATGCCTTGCTAATCTATTTCCAATGGCATACATTGATCTCTATTCGTCAACTAAATTTTTTTCTCGCGTAAGAACGTACAAGAGAGGTCGAACATGCAACAATAACAAATGTTCATTTGTACGAACGTATGTCACAGGTTAGAATTCGCAAATAAACCTCTGCTAAGTTCAGAAATATTCAGAAGGAAAATGAGATTTTGTTTGACTAAAAGCAATTTCTTTATATTCGCACCTGGTGACCTGAGCAAAAAACCAATCTTTTCGATAATCACTCTCACCAACAGTGTACACCAAGTCTTCACTAGGATATATCTCCGCGTACCTTTCCCATAATCCATATTGCCTATACCTGTTAATATAGAGGAACAAAGATTGTTGGGGTAATTTTCAATCACATTTTTCTGAAGAAGTCATAAATATATGCATCTATTATAGGAAAGAATCTTGCTTGTAGAAGAAATCGAAAAATTTCTTGGAAATCTTATAAGATCCGTTCATTCTTTTTTCTCTAACAGATGGTCAGTGAGGGAGTGTTTCCCAACCCTCTTTTCTGGATTGTCATGGAGGAGGTTGTTAAATTTTATCATTTTTATTTTCAAAATCAAGAGGTTATGGACTGATAAGTGTCTATCCACCCAAACAATATGTCGTGCGTTTAAGTCCGATACTCAATCTCCCTAAAATATCTATCACATACTCCTTTATATAAGTAGTAGCCTTGGTCTTTATTCTATTTTAGATATTCACAAGCCAATAAGTTGTTATCAAAAGCGATTAGGCATACTAACCTTTCAGGATGATCGATAAAAAGTTTGTTTATAAATTTGGGGTTAGGATCAGGAACATAGAACTCTGCTGCAGAACGATCAGGAATACCAATCTCCCACAATGTTGGTCCATCTCTCGGAGGTTCATATATAATCTCACCCATATCAATATCAGAACCTGCGTTACATTTTATTCAAGTTATATCATGTTTATTAAAAACTAAAATAATAAAAAAATGTATCGAAATAAGACCTGGAGTGACAGTAATTGCAACTTCGTTTCGATAATCTCCAACAAATCCAGGGACCCATGCATAAAGATTGTAGTTGCCAGCACGTACATCGTTGATGGAGAAATAGCCTGCGTCATCTGCCTTAGTCCAAAACTGATAGTCCTGATGAAAAAATAAAACATGTAAAATTGATAAGTAGGTATGTATTAAGATAAGACTTCGAAAAGGAAATGACCTTGTTTATTTTTATGTTTGCATTGATAGTAGGCCTATCAATTGATTGAATTTTGGTTCATATTCAATCTGAATTCGATTCGTTGACAAATTTAACTGGAAGGGTCAAGCTCGTTAATTTACCTAGCATTTTTTGTTTCTTTTTTTTGGGTTCAGTGTCCAGGTTATTTTACGCGCACATCAACTAATTACCTTATCGGTCCGGTCAAAGACAAGTCATTTATGTCAAAACTAAAGCATTCATGAGAGATAAATCTCTCATTATCTAAACTCAAGAGATTGCTAAGATTCGAACTCAAAACGTCTGAATATACAATTCGTCTCTATTCCTACTCAAACTACTACCCTTTAGGGTTACCTAGCATTTTCAAAAAATCCCATTTGAACAATGCTAAATAGAGCATGAAATGAAGCAAAATCACCTTGCATTCTCTTTGCCATGATCCCACTTCTCCAGGTGGGGCTAATCCCACATAAGCACCATTCCCTAGTATATAATCATCGCTAACATACCTAGGCATGTGTAATTACAAATACTTCAATCACACAAATTTGGAGAAAGGTAATAATACGAAATCAATCTATTTACTGCTAATAATAATAATACAGATTAAGATAAGTCAATTTAAAACAAAAATTGAGAAATCATTCCCTACCCGTCTCTGACTAGTAATCTGCCACTAACATTTCCCCGTTGATCCGAGAATGGGAAATCCTCCGATGCCGGAAAACTATACGGCCAGCTTTGGACTTCAACCAACATCTGATAATCAATACTTAACAGTGTTTCTCATCAGAAGGTCAAATGTAAATAGAATTTTTACCAAGTGTTGTTGGAGAAAACCTGGTTTTTGGCATCGTCCCAAAGTGTAAAAGGGTCTTCTCCATCCATTACGGAATTTACATAGATGAAAACAGGACCAAAAACTTTCTTCCACGGCTCACCCTGACCAAATTTAGGCACTAGATCATCCCCAGCATAGTGACCACTGAGAAACATCTGGTAAGACCATATCAATCATTAGACAACATTATTAGAGTGATAATCAAGCGGAGTCATTTTTCTATACGAGCATAAAAAATTGTTCAAACTCAGTTAATTTAAAAACTGATCGAGTCCGAGTCGTGCCCAAAATGAGTCAAACCTAGTTACTTCCCGTATAATTATTGAACTTGAGCCGAGTTCGAATAGCTCAACTCTTTAACATATAAACAAGCTANTCGTGCCCAAAATGAGTCAAACCTAGTTACTTCCCATATAATTATTGAACTTGAGCCGAGTTTGAATAGCTCAACTCTTTTACATATAAACAAGCTAAACTTTGTGAATTCAAGTCAAACTTTTTTAGGTTTTTTTTTTAAACGAGTCTAAAAAATTGTTTAAACTCGACTCATTTAAATCACGAGCTGAACTAGAGTAACTCGACTCAATTATCAGTCCTATTTATAATACATCATGTATTCATTTGTATTATACAAATTGAAGTGTACAATGGGGGTGGGATAGATGGGACACCCAAGTTATAAAATCTTTAATGAGAGTTCAATCTCAATCCAAATTCTATCCTTGTTTAAATTGTCACCTTCGGATTGAATTTAGACTATAAGACTTGAAACTTACCAACTCCAGGCATAATAAAGATTGACAGACTGAGAGCTCTTTTTTGATTTTATGGGTGGTGGTGCATGGCCGTTCTTAGTTGGTGGAGCAATTTGTCTGATTAATTCCGTTAACGAACGAGACATCAGCTTGCNGCCAAAATTTGTACAACTCATATACAATCCATTTATAGTTTCGTACAATCGGATTCTCTTGTATTTGGATTATATTATCTATAATTTATGTAATGTGGGGTTCAAATACTATATAATGACGGTTCTAACAACCCATTTATAAATAATATTTGGTGGGTCAATCGTGTTTTGACCCAATCCTTTAAACATATATTCGGTATAATTTCATATCAATTTCTTTTGGGTTGACACTATTTACCGATTACTAATTGTAAAATGATTAAAGAGCAAGGAAGGAAGAAACTTTGTTTACTTGTCTTTCCGGAGCTTGAATGCAATCCTGGTTTCACCAAGGCTGAAAGCAGGCCATTCCATGGAGCCCAAGTGCTCATAAATTGCATAGGAGTAGAACCCCGAGCAACCCCGGAGCAAAATAAACCTAGAAAATCATCAATTACTATTATCAATTTATCAGTAATCACAATAATAACATTGTTAATCAATGGTCTCTCAGTCACCCATACAAATAGAGCATGATCAAAACGGACAACCTTTTGTCAATGTTCAATGGAACAAGCTTGCCCTGGAGGGAGGGATCCCATGGTCTTGAGAATGAAACCTCTACCTGTTCCTCAGTTTCCATTATAACCTTAAAATCTGTTGCCTTAATCCTGCAAAGGATGGATTAGCTGTATATCCTTTAAAACATTGGCATTATTATGAGATATTTGGATACCAAACAAAGTTATTGGAGTGAGGGCATACACTTCAAACACTCCTTGTCTTCCTTCTTGTGCATTCCAAACAACGTCCCAGTACCTACATACTTCCATCACAATTAGAACCAATCTTTTTATATAATTTAACTGACAAGATTCCGGTCATTGAAAGATCGGAAAAAATCCAAAAATTATCTTCGTTGTGACATCCAAATTTTAAAGCATAAGTTGTTTAATCATCTTAATGATTTTTTTTTTTTTTGATAAGCAAAGATAAGGGACTCAAACCATCAACCTGCCACTCCATTATAGAGGGCTCTAACCATTCAGGTAGGACTTCGGTCCTAATCATCTTAATGATTTGTAAATTATGATACGCACTGCAAGATACATCTATCACTAAATGTCCTCATTCAGTTTATTTCAATCTTAGAAGAAACAAAGACAAAGCCAAATACCCTCTATTAGATTCCTGGTTGAGAACTTCAAGCAAGTTGTCCATGCCATTGTATCGTACTCCAGTGACTATTCCATCTGGATTTGATAGTGTGACTTGGACTATGCCATTATCCATCATCACCTGGAAGAAAAATTGGATCGTTATACCAAAGAACGAGTCTCTATATACCAGTTCAAATCAGCTGATAGGTGTTGGGGGCAGTAATTTTTGATATAAGATATAAACATAATACGAATCTAATACAAAAGAAACTCAAAATAAAAAACCAATAAAAATAAAAGTAAAAGGGTTGGATTAATCCAAAAATGAATAACTTGATTTTGATCTAACAAATTGATATTGCAATAAGAAATTTCCTTTATTATATCAACTGCCGTACAATTAAATGATTTTGATTTTTTTGTTAAGATGTGAATTAAATGGATTTTTAACTTATGTGGACTATGTTGAATTTGATCACGAAAAAAAGAAGTTTGTAATTTTACAGTTTCTAACAATGATGCATGCGATCTAATTATAACACAAATCTAAAATGACACTATCTAAATATGACCCGACCCGAGTCAACTCAATTGACACGCCTAATATGCTTCATTAGTTGATAGAAATTTTAACACCAAGTAGAGCACAAGATGAGGTAGAAAAGACATAAATTACTTACATGGCGATCTTGTATATGCAATCGTACCCCTAGAGGAGCCATTGTTCCAAGACCCCCGCTATGCTCCTTAGCTTCTTCTGCACAAGTATAAATTTTCATTGATTCCCAAACATATAATATATTACATAGGTTTATGGTAATTATTTTTTTTCCTAGACCCATGACAGATCGCTTTACCGATTCAAGCAAAAGCAAGTTATCTATGCCGAGATTTGAATATTCAAGATAGATATATCTCTCATCANGTCTTAATTTGAAATTTAACAAGATTGACAAGTAATAAAAGTTGGTGGAAAATTAAATTTACCTCTCCTATGAGCTCGGGCTCCACAGGATTGACAAGTAAGACAGCTTCTGGGTAGGCAAGAACTTGGCACCTTGTAGAATTGCGGTCATCTGGTAGGGGCATGAATCTTCGTTTATTATCCGCCATAGCCATGTAGTGAAACCTATCCATCCCAATCAACAATTTATCATTCTTTGAGTAATTTGCCAAAGACCCCTTGTCCCAATAACATTAGTGTATTTGTTGATATGATAGCTCATTTTATTGACCTTTTGTAAGATTACATGCCTCAATGCTAATATATATAGTACTAGTATTGGTGGATCAAAAATAACGAGTTGTGTTATTTACAGAATAATCTTCATTTCAATAGTTACCCAATACCAATAAGGTAGACAAAGGGTTGAGACAAGGTCGTTTGGTATTCAAGTCATGTCGGACCAAAATTTGTACAACTCATATACAATCCATTTATAGTTTCGTACAATCGGATTCTCTTGTATTTGGATTATATTATCTATAATTTATGTAATGTGGGGTTCAAATACTATATAATGACGGTTCTAACAACCCATTTATAAATAATATTTGGTGGGTCAATCGTGTTTTGACCCAATCCTTTAAACATATATTCGGTATAATTTCATATCAATTTCTTTTGGGTTGACACTATTTACCGATTACTAATTGTAAAATGATTAAAGAGCAAGGAAGGAAGAAACTTTGTTTACTTGTCTTTCCGGAGCTTGAATGCAATCCTGGTTTCACCAAGGCTGAAAGCAGGCCATTCCATGGAGCCCAAGTGCTCATAAATTGCATAGGAGTAGAACCCCGAGCAACCCCGGAGCAAAATAAACCTAGAAAATCATCAATTACTATTATCAATTTATCAGTAATCACAATAATAACATTGTTAATCAATGGTCTCTCAGTCACCCATACAAATAGAGCATGATCAAAACGGACAACCTTTTGTCAATGTTCAATGGAACAAGCTTGCCCTGGAGGGAGGGATCCCATGGTCTTGAGAATGAAACCTCTACCTGTTCCTCAGTTTCCATTATAACCTTAAAATCTGTTGCCTTAATCCTGCAAAGGATGGATTAGCTGTATATCCTTTAAAACATTGGCATTATTATGAGATATTTGGATACCAAACAAAGTTATTGGAGTGAGGGCATACACTTCAAACACTCCTTGTCTTCCTTCTTGTGCATTCCAAACAACGTCCCAGTACCTACATACTTCCATCACAATTAGAACCAATCTTTTTATATAATTTAACTGACAAGATTCCGGTCATTGAAAGATCGGAAAAAATCCAAAAATTATCTTCGTTGTGACATCCAAATTTTAAAGCATAAGTTGTTTAATCATCTTAATGATTTTTTTTTTTTTTGATAAGCAAAGATAAGGGACTCAAACCATCAACCTGCCACTCCATTATAGAGGGCTCTAACCATTCAGGTAGGACTTCGGTCCTAATCATCTTAATGATTTGTAAATTATGATACGCACTGCAAGATACATCTATCACTAAATGTCCTCATTCAGTTTATTTCAATCTTAGAAGAAACAAAGACAAAGCCAAATACCCTCTATTAGATTCCTGGTTGAGAACTTCAAGCAAGTTGTCCATGCCATTGTATCGTACTCCAGTGACTATTCCATCTGGATTTGATAGTGTGACTTGGACTATGCCATTATCCATCATCACCTGGAAGAAAAATTGGATCGTTATACCAAAGAACGAGTCTCTATATACCAGTTCAAATCAGCTGATAGGTGTTGGGGGCAGTAATTTTTGATATAAGATATAAACATAATACGAATCTAATACAAAAGAAACTCAAAATAAAAAACCAATAAAAATAAAAGTAAAAGGGTTGGATTAATCCAAAAATGAATAACTTGATTTTGATCTAACAAATTGATATTGCAATAAGAAATTTCCTTTATTATATCAACTGCCGTACAATTAAATGATTTTGATTTTTTTGTTAAGATGTGAATTAAATGGATTTTTAACTTATGTGGACTATGTTGAATTTGATCACGAAAAAAAGAAGTTTGTAATTTTACAGTTTCTAACAATGATGCATGCGATCTAATTATAACACAAATCTAAAATGACACTATCTAAATATGACCCGACCCGAGTCAACTCAATTGACACGCCTAATATGCTTCATTAGTTGATAGAAATTTTAACACCAAGTAGAGCACAAGATGAGGTAGAAAAGACATAAATTACTTACATGGCGATCTTGTATATGCAATCGTACCCCTAGAGGAGCCATTGTTCCAAGACCCCCGCTATGCTCCTTAGCTTCTTCTGCACAAGTATAAATTTTCATTGACTCCCAAACATATAATATATTACATAGGTTTATGGTAATTATTTTTTTTCCTAGACCCATGACAGATCGCTTTACCGATTCAAGCAAAAGCAAGTTATCTATGCCGAGATTTGAATATTCAAGATAGATATATCTCTCATCATCTGACCCTAAAAAATTGACAAAATTCGAACTTAAAAATACTTGATGTGCAGCTCATTCTGTCAGAAATTGACAAGATTAGAATATTCAAGATAGATGCTCTGCCTGTAAACTAAGACTCTGGAGACTACGGGTCCCAGCGGTGCAATCCCGCTTAGGTCGGAAGCCATCCCAAGCGGGGGCGAATTGGGTCTTTGCATTGCATTAACTCAAAAGGAGAAAAAACACATCGACAAGATTTAAATTTAAAAAGACTAAATTTACAGCTCGTTTTGTTATCATTTGAACTACCATNGACAAGATTTAAATTTAAAAAGATTAAATTTACAGCTCGTTTTGTTTTCATTTGAACTACCACGAGATTAGGAACAAAAAATTGTTGTTCATGTGAGTCTTACCTGTTGGCAAATCTATATGGAGGAAAGATAAGAAATGAACGATATTAATATGCTTTGGCTAGAGGCATGGCTTTGCTTGAAAGACGAGACGAAGCATTCTCTTTTTTTGACTTTAGCTTTAGTAATCTCTTTACTTTTTCGCCACCAGAGTTTGGTGAACTAACTAAAATATGACTTGAAAGGATCGCTATGTAAAAAGAACCCAAAAGCACAACTCATCTAGAAACAAAGGCAACGTTTTATGATTTTGTCCGTTTGCTCCATCATGCAATTTATTTAAGGTAGCGGAAGCTTTTAGTATTGAAAGAGATCTTGCAAGATTTAACTATCATGTTGCTAAGAATTGGCCATCTCTTTAAAATTCGTAATTATTATGATTTTAGAATATATAAAAAGTTATACATCGTCGAGAATTGAGTGCGAAACACAAATTTAAATTTTTTTATGAAAAATCAAAATTAAAAAATTCTTCGAATTGTTTGGAGTGATATTGAAAAAGTCAAATTAGGACTCAATAAAAGAAGAAAAAGTCGAGGTTTCTTTGAATAAGCCTGATTTTAAGTTTTTTCTTAATTATTCTTTTAGTTTACTTTATTGTTTTCAAAAAAAAAATTAGTGATTTACTTTTATATGCATATTGAGGAATTTTATTGAGACTTAATTTATTAATTTAATTTACATATAAGTAAAATTACCGTACTAACCTCGGAATTTTCCACAAGTGCAGAGATTTTTCACTATGGTTTTGAAATGGCGTTGCACTCCCATTTTAATTCCTGCATTAAAAGTTTACGAAAAGGTCAAAATTGTCATCAACATCCTGGTCACAACCGTCATCATTCTTCTGGCAGCCCCACTGACCCCGACCCCTGTACCCATCAGCACAATTTTTTTCCAAAATGACCATAAACACCACTTTGCCATCACCTGGTATCACACCCACCGCATCACCGTCAGACTCCGCCGCCGGAGTCCGTCGAGTCAAAGCTGGTGTCTCCTACGGTGCCGCAACCAAATTACTCCAAAACAGCCCCATCTGCTGGTACTATCTCCCCATGTCTCTCTCTCTCTCTCTCTCTCTCTATATATATATATATATAGGACCAAGTTCAACCAATAGAACTTCCACCGCTACAGTCTACAGGTATGTAGGCGGTATTATATTCTCAAACAAGGTTTTGAGACGAAATTAAACAGGCTGGTAAGCAATATGTGCGAACAGTTAGAACCGATAGGAGCCCGAGAGAGAGAGAGAGTGGTAGGAACGTACGAGGGTGTTGGTACCTGACTTATTGGGAGTCCGGTACATCTCTCGCCAACAGAGACAAAGTAATCGACGGGTGTATCAATTGAAGATTATAGTTGAACGTCAAATTAGTATCGTTTTAGGTGGATTAAATGTGTGACCAATTCGGTATTTAGGCATTTTGGAGAAATTCCCACATAAGTCTGTAGAAACAAATTTCAATCCCTAGCTCAAGATGTACATTCTAAATTTGAATTTTAACTATTTTTTTAAATTAATTTTTTTATGAATACTTTAATTTTAACATTAATGTCTGATCAAATTAATAAAAAAAATTAATTAATACACAAATAAATTTATCCGAACAACCTTAATCATTCTTAAAGTCGTGAATACTGCTCTTTATAAAATAATAAAGGTTTTCGGGTAAATATTTACCATCAAAAATTTTTTTAGATTCAATTCAATCCCACTACTCCAAGGTGGGGCCCACGGCTAATTGTAGATAGAGACTTTATCAGTAAAGGAGCCATTTATAACATTATTTAATTTGCTACAAACTCAGGTTCACCATATGTGATGATGTACCAAGATACAAGCGGCTTCCGTAAATTAGTGAAGAACAAATGGAGAGGAAGCAGAAAGCCAAGCCATCTACAAATTCAACACCTAATAAAAGTGACTTAATTAAAAAATTAATTTTCTTATTTGTCCTTCAATAATTTTATAATATTTATTTATTCTTTTTAAAGTTACTTAAGAGAAAAAAAAAATATTTTCTTATTTATTCTTCAAAAATTCTATAATATCTATTTTATTCCTTTTTCAAGAATTTTTTTATTTTTTTATTAGTTGCATTAATTCAATTAATAAATTTATTGTTTAACTTTTGATTATCTTATTTACAAAAAATATAAATTTGATCAATATCCGATTTAAATAATATGATCTGAATCCAATTCAATTGTCCAAAAAATTTTATTTTCACGGTACATATATGGATCCATTAAAATAGATATTCAAAATGTCTTTCTAATGACTTAAAAAATAATCTTCAACATTAAATCAGTTTCCTAAACAGTTATTTTGATTTATATTTAATGGAAGTTTTTTTTTCCTAAAATCTAAAATTTAAATTTAAATTTGACATCACTACCCTTTCTCTCCCTCTCTCAAATTTTTTTTTGTGCTAATAAGACTGTGGTTAATGTAATATTGATTATTACAATGCATGTTACTATTTTTGTTCATATTACTATTTTTTTGTTGTGCATACTATTATTTTTTTGATAAGTACGTTACTATTAATAATGAATGTTGCTATTTTTCTGAAATATCAATATTTAATGTTACTTTTGTTTTGTTGACCATGATACTACTGATATATTTTTTTCAAATATTAATATTCAATATTACTATTTTTTTTTTTTGAATGTTACTATTTTTCTATGTTTAAGTGGTACTATTTATTGTGATTGAATGTTACTATTTTTTATTTTTAATTTTACTATATATTTGTGTGTGTGTGTGTGTGAGGGGAGAGAGAAATAAATATTCATATTATATATATGAATATAGATAAATATGAGAGATTGATAATTTTAATGTTAATCAAATTTCTAAAATTTAAAAGTTGTTAGTTTTCAAATTTGTTGTAATTAAATATAACTAATTAGGGTATTTTGGACAATAGATATCAAAATTGATTTGATATTAAACAAATTTTCTTGATAGATTTATCACTAAATAAGTCCAAAGAGGTACCGACCTCCAAATTTAAAAAAAAAAAAAAAATTGGTATCATACCTCAATTTATCATATTTGTTATCACTTGTATTATATTTGCATGTTCTTTTATCACTGTTGTGATATCTCAAAAAAAGGTAAAAATAATTTTCACAATAGTGAAAAAAATATTCTCAAATATGATAAAAACAATCATAAATATACTAAAAACACCTATTTTTTATACCAAATAAAATTAGTGAAAATTGTTATCACAAATGTAATAAAAATATCCACAAATAACAATAAAAATACTCATAAAAATGATAAATCCCCCATAAAATTAATAAATTTTTTAGTAACAAAATCATCCTACAAAAATTATAAAAACACTCATCAAAATGGTAAAAGTTTGAAGTATGGTACCAAATTTATTTATTCGGTACCTTAGTCTAAGTCCTAAACATTTTGATCGCTAACAACCGCGAACCAATGAGAGCAAATCCTGTGAGGGTGACTATTCCTCGGCAAACAAAATAAGAAGAATAAACTAATTGTGTCAATTGATACAAATAGTTGGACTAAATTGCACATATTACCCTAAAATTATGACCATTTTTTCAATTAAGCTTCTAAGTTTTTTTTTTTTTGACAATTGAGTTATTGAACTCTATAATTGTGTCAATTGAGTTATTTTGTATTTTTTTTTTTGCCATATAATCACGTGAATGACACATTCTAATAAAAGCAGACAGAAGGGTAATAAAAGAATTAGACAAAAATGTCCCTCTAAATTTCATTGTACATTTGACTTTTGTGATGAATATGAACAAAAATCTCTCATGGAAACACAATTAATATTTTATGGATTAAATTGTGCAAATCAAAACTTTAGGGACTAATAAAAATCACATAAATACTTCAAGGGTGTAATTCACAATTCACCAATTTATTTATCAATAGCTTCTCATTTTCTCACGTCATGTCAATTTTAATTATTTCTTTCTTTTAATTTGATTAGTTGCCTGAGTGTTTTTATCAAGTCTAAACTGTTAGTTGCTGAGGCAGAATGTAGAGACAAATTCGCGGTGATTTGTTGGTAATCTGTTGTATACAACAACTAATGATATTTAGAAATCTAGTCCAACTCATGTTATAAGCCCGATCCGAGTTTATAACCTGACTCCAATAAACCTGACAAATTCAATCTAATGTGATCAACCCTGTCAAGCTCAAGTAGTAGACAAGGTCATCAAAGAACTTCCTCCTCTATCGTCTTGGAATAAGGGTCATTCAAGAGTCTCCTCTACTATCTTTGAGTAAGGATCATCCAAAAGTCTCCTTTATTATTTTAGAGTAAGGGTCATCAAAGAATTTCTTCGCCACCTTGGAGTAAGGGAGCGTCCAGGAGCCTCACTCATGCCGCTCGGAGAGAATCTACCTTCCCACATCATTTGACCAAGTCCTTTGGAGAATACCATAACTTCCACGTCGATTGAGGAAAGAAGAGGTCTCCAAGCTGTTTAATTACCGTTAAAGTCACTCAAATCCGTTACGACTATTAAAACGATCCCAACCCGTTATGACCGTCATATTAACTATTCAATTACTACACCAAATCACTATAAATTGTACGTCCCACCAACACTTGGGAGGCATCAGACTCATTTGAGTATAATTTTCTCCTCCACTCTCAAAGCTTGTAATCTTATGCTCTCCCTTCACATTGGAAATAATTAAATTTCGGCGACCCTTACCATTCAAAGTGGACATAAGTCATATTGACCGAACCACTATAAACCTTGTCTTCTTTCTCTCTTTACTTTATTGTATTTTATATTACTTAATTAACAGGTGGTGTACAAACTAATTTATACATCATCAAATTCTGTGTATTGATTATGCGATACCTTTTGACATGAAAGAGATTCTCCTTTGTTTCCTTCATGTGTAAAGTCATTGAAATCCAACTTATTTTTAAATGAAGAATAAAAAAAATAAAAAAATATTTAATTTTACTAATTTCTCCAAAAAAATTGTATATATTTATTCATACAGAATTACTATATAGGGGAGAGAAGTACTCTGTACATTGTGTCTTTTATTCTTTGTTGAGTTAAATAATATTTAACTACACTTTTGATTGCAACTATACTCTATATTTATAGATTGGGTCTATTTTATCACTTTCCACATTTTATTGAAAAATTTTAATTTAGGTCAATCAAATTAAGTTCTCAATTTATTCTTCCTTGATTTTATAAAATCAATCATATTCTTGTGACCTTACTTTTGATATTTTTTTTTATTTTCAATCATAAATTTTATCATATCGTCCCATTTTTTCAAATCTTAAACAAATAAATTGTTTAAAAGTCATATTTGATATCTTTATCCTTTATCTATGAGCCACAAACCTTTTCAGTTTTCTTTAACTAACAAGTAATACAAAACCACATCAAAATTTATTTTGTTAGGAAATTATAATTTTCACTAAATAAAACTTAAAAATGCATTAACAAATAAAATTATAACTAAAAAACGTTACACGTGCAACACACGTGTGTAACAATTAATATAGATAGATATGAGAAAGAGAGGGAAAAAATTTTAAAGTGAGTAAACTCTAAATTTAAGAATTTTTAGTTTTCAATTTTGTTTTAATTAGATGTGGTAATATTATTATTTGTCTCTCACATACATGTAAATAATTTTAATCTATATGTATATATAGATAGATATGAGATAAATAGTTTTAATCTATATGTGTATAAAAATTGATATGAGAGAAAAAATAATTTTAATATGAAAAAAATTATAAATTTTAGGAATTTTTAGTTTTCAATTTTGTTTTAATTAGATGTGGTAAAATTACTATTTATCTCTCACATACATGTAAATAATTTCAATCTATATGTATATATAGATCGATGTGAAAGAAATAGTTTTAATCTATATGTGTATAAAAATTGATATTAGAGAAAAAATAATTTTAATATGAAAAAAATTATAAATTTTAGGAATTTTTAGTTTTCAATTTTGTCTTAATTAGATGTGGTAATATTACTATTTGTCTCTCACATACATGTAAATAATATAAATCTATATGTATATATAGATAGATATGAGATAAATAGTTTTAATCTATATGTGTATAAAAATTGATATGAGAGAAAAAATAATTTTAATATGAAAAAAATTATAAATTTTAGGAATTTTTAGTTTTCAATTTTGTTTTAATTAGATGTGGTAAAATTACTATTTATCTCTCACATACATGTAAATAATTTCAATCTATATGTATATATAGATCGATATGAAAGAAATAGTTTTAATCTATATGTGTATAAAAATTGATATTAGAGAAAAAATAATTTTAATATGAAAAAAATTATAAATTTTAGGAATTTTTAGTTTTCAATTTTGTCTTAATTAGATGTGGTAATATTACTATTTGTCTCTCACATACATGTAAATAATATAAATCTATATGTATATATAGATAGATATGAGATAAATAGTTTTAATCTATATGTGTATAAAAATTGATATGAGAGAAAAAATAATTTTAATATGAAAAAAATTATAAATTTTAGGAATTTTTAGTTTTTAAATTTATTTTAATTAGATGTAACTGTTGGGATATTTTGGACAATAAAGATTGAAATGAACTTAAACCCAAACAAAACTTGTGGGTGGACTTTTTGCCATTAGATTCTAATGTGAACATTTTTATTGTTGAGGGTGCAAAATATAATAAAGGTAATAATTTAAGAAGATAAACTATAATTTATCCCCTAAAAAGTTGACCGCCTCAAATTTCCATTTTTGTTTCCTAATACTAATATTTCCTAACGTGAACATTAAACACCTATAAATATCCTGAACTCCCTCTCTCCCTCCCTCCCTCTCTCAGACGCTCCTTCTATCTCTCGGAGGCACCCTCGCAGTCTCTCCTTCACTCCTCTGCGACTCTCCCTCTCCTTAACCCCTCTCTCTTGTTCTTCTTTATTTCTTTGAACAATATTATGCTCAAAGAGATCTTTCTATCTGTGTTAGTCTTTACCATTTTTGTCACGTTTTACTCAAATCGTCGATGAGAAAAAAAGATTTAACACCGCAACTTGTTCAGATTATCTTTTAGTTTGATTTTGATTGTCTTGTTTAATTTCTTTTAACTCTTGGCCAGCTTCTGTAGATACTTCAAGATGTAGTGTATCAAAGCCCAGAGATGTTAATAACCACCACAGATAGAAGTTTTGAGATAGCAGGAGAGAACGAAATACAAGAAATCAGGACTCTCTTAGTAAGTAGGCTTCTCATAATTGTCACGGTTAGTTAGTATCCTTCTCTTCCGTGAATTTCTTTGGGCGTTCAATTCTGTAAGTTCTTTCTCTCTCTCTCTGATAATTTTGTAAGTTCCCTTTCTTTGTCTCTCTCATATTTTTCTTTTTATCTACTTTGTGTTCTTCTTGTTCTTATTTTGTTATATGACATCTTTGTTCAATGCTCAATCAACTTTGTTTAGTCAGATTGTTCCTCGTAGTTGTGTGTACTTGAGTCAACTTAATTACCTCTTTTGTTCTTGATAAATCGTCGGCAATTTTGGTCACCAGCCGATCTTTATTTTAAGTCATCCAATTATCACGTCCAATCAACTATTTTTTTGGGTCACGTCGTTCTTTCGTTTCTTGAAGTTATAGTTGTTTAATGCTGTTCAATAAGAGAGTATTTTGCTCGCTCAAACTTGTGCATGGAATTAAAGTTCAAAGTCCTAATTGTGGCATGCATGAATTAGTTTTTTTTACATAAGATGATGCATGAAACATATATGCATGATTTTTTTTTTTTTTTACATGAGATGATGCATGAATTATTTCAATTGCATTCTTTCTCTACTCTTGGATATTGGGATTTAACATGATGCTGAATCAATTTTTTTCTAGCTTAGCAGCCCCTTCCCTCTCTTTCTGTGTTGCAGTCTTCTGTCTATGCAGACATAATTGGCAATTCAGAGATGCTAATAAATCCCTCTGGCTTTAACATTTTGATCCTGATGTTTAGGGAGCAATAACTTTCTCTGCTTGCCGATGATAATTTTTTTACATGCCTGATTGGTATTTTTTGTTTTCTTCTTCATTGTTATGTGGTCCATGAGACCAACAAATGACTCAAAATCTGGATGTGTGTTTTCTTAGATGTAGTAATCTTCTATGCTTATTACTTAGCTTCAGCTATATATATTGTCTTTAAATGCTAACTGCTTTTTATTCTTGCACAGGACACTGAGGCCGTATCCTATATGAAAAAAGTGTACAATACGTGATCAATATTGAACAACCTAACTGGGCAGTTGATGTGAATTACTAACCCCTTTCTGTTTGGATGTGAAGGCCCAGCTTATGTGCTTCTTGTTTTGACATTGGTCTATAAGCAGCTCGTGTCTGGTACATATGTTCACTTGAGTTTGTGGTTATGCACTCAATTGTAAATCATCATGGGTATACTCGACTTATGCTATAATTGCTATTGGGTGGACAACTTATGTTAATATTCCATTTTCGTAGATGTTTCATACTACTGTGTCCATGCATTCCCTGTTTCTATTGAAGTTTCTTCTATGTTTTCTGATGTCTTTTCTTCTTGTAACAGTCTTTTCTTTATGTGTTTTACCTTTTAGGGAATCCTGAATATAGAGCTCATTAGTAATCTGCAACATGTTGTTGAGGTAACCTTAGATCAGAAAGGACCGATAATTTTTCCATTGATATAAAGGTGGATAATTTTGGCATTGGATAGATGGATATGACCTCAATACGGGTGCTTTATTTATCACCCCGTAGAATGCTATATGGTAGGGGCAACAAATTATTTGGCCTTGACTTAGGGTATTTAGGAAGAACTGGTTGTTCTAGCTCGATATTGTCAAGAATTCCTGACTATTGCATGAGAACATGTTCATCTTTGAAGGATTTTTTCCTTCCAATATTTTTATTTATGTTTCTTTTCAAATTCACATATCATTTGAAGGTGAAAACTTCGGATCAAAGTGAGAGAATGGGAGACACTTGCCACGTAAGTTACTCATTAATATTTTCCTTTTGAAATCATATTAGCGTGAAGTACATTTGTCTTCTTATAAGTTGCATGCATAGTTTTCATCATTGTCTAATCTAGGATCTCCTGGATATGCACTAAAACAAAAGTAGAGATGAGAAGAAGTCTTCAACAAAGACACCAATAATGAAGAAATAACAATTCCCTCCAGAGTTGCACCAAATTAAGAATTCCTCTCATACCTAATTTGAATCTTCATTTCTGCTATTGACACTAAGGAGAACTCTGTTTCTCGATTCTTGCATAATAAAGCTTGAAGTTCTAATATAAATTTGCACATTTTCTTAGATTTCTGTGTAGACTTTCATTACTTCCAACTAATTTCCTTGTATGTTGCAATGTTTCCTAAACTAAGGCCTTTAGATTCTTTCATTCTGACATAATGCACTGTTTTTTTTCAGTTAAACTTGGGGAAGTCATACTTGACATCCTTCAATGTCAGGGTTGTTTGTGGTAACCTGGAATCCTGGGTATTGATTGTTTCTTTTATTCTTTATTCCAAATGAGAAGATGGCAGGTTCTTAATCCTTCTTTCTTTCCTTGTCCTGTGTAGATAAATGAAGTCTTATGCAGGTCATGTTATCGGAGTATCCTTAAAGAAGCAGCTTTTCCATTTGAATATTCGTTTGCATTAAAAATCTGTCTATGAACAAAATGAGGAACGCAAAGTATAGGGTGAACTGACTCATATTTCGTGATATTACAATTTCAATATCTTCTTATCCACTCTTTATTTTTCCTTAGTCCTCTTAGTATGACCTTAAACTTGGCAGGAAAATAAAGCTGTTGGTGTTATGAAGGCTGGGCAGAGCTTTACCCATTGAACCTATGATAAATGCAGGTAATTTTACATCGCTTATAAATTGTAATCAAAAGTTTTGCCTAGGCGTTTTTATTGTACTTGTTTTATTTTTGGAAAATTTGATTTTTAATGGAGTTAGAATGCCATGATTGCTTTGCCTTGCTGCATGCATAAAAATAACTTCCTTCTTGTACGATGGATGGCACCTTTAACCTTTTTATGTTGAGTTTATATTTCATGTTGTGCAGGTCTTTTATACAGGGTGATTAGCATTTATTCATGGTAATATGCTGGCAATACCAATGGCTGAGGCTAAAAGTCATTTCCTTTTTTGGCGTCTATTGAAACAAACAAAGGCTTTATGTTTAATTGTTGATTGAATGAAGTCAAAATTTAACGAGGAACAAGAAGTGAAATTTATGGTTGACTGTTATAAGGTTGAAAAGTAGTAGATGTATACATAGATTTTCATGCCTCAGCTGAAAAACCACTATATCTTTGTCTTTTTAGATGTTATGTTTTTCTTGTTATGATGGTTGAATGCATATTTTTGTTAGGGATGTTGATTCTGGAGTTGTAATATCACAATTTAGAGCTGTAATACCACTCAGATATCTGCATTATGTTTCAATCCAAGTGGCACTCTTCTGTGCCTGCTTCAGGCCGTGGAAATAGCATAAATATTTTCTGGATCATACCATCTTGGATACATAATATGCAGGCAGTCAAACCTATGACTGGGATCTTCTCATGTGCATCTTTATAACTTCTATCGTGGAATGACAACAACTGTTAGTATACATCCGTATCTCAGTATTCATTATTTTTTTATCTTCCTTTGCAAATGGTCTAAGTTTGTGCAATATTGTTCAGATTACTGAATTTTAATTGGCAGGTCATCCAAGATGTGCTTCTGCCATTACTATCAGTGGATTGCTATTATACCATCCAAAGGGAGTTGCCACTTTTTTGCTCTATCACCCTTTGGTGGCAATGCCAGCCTTCAAACTATTGTTTCTCTTGGCAAAAAGTCTATTCCCGTATCCCATTGTATCTTTACCATGGCGGTCTACTTCATCTTTCATCCTAAACTGGCAATCTTCTTCACCTCGGCACCCTGTTACCTTTTAGGTGGTAAGTCGGATAAAGAATAATGCCTCGGGACTGCTTATTCAGTTAGCAATACTGCTACTTCCGTAGAAGGAAAGGTTAACCTGCCATCTTGTGCTGGTGCAGCTGATTTTTCACAGTTCTTCCGTATCTCGTGGTTTGCAGGATGTTCAGTCGGGGGTTAATTCCTTGGAGCATTTGTTAGTTTATACTCCATCAGGCTATGTGATTAAACTTGAGCTTCTGCCATCAATTGAGGCAGAGCTAAATGAGAGTGATCTAGCAACTCGGTCTGGCTTATATGTACATTCACAAGATGAGGAGTAAGGGTGAAAGTTGAACTTGTTCAATGGTGGGATGTGTGTAGAAGATCAGATTGTCTAGAGAGAGAGAGAGGAATGTTTTTCAGAGACTTCTTTTGATGCTCAAAAAGCTGGAGAGAACAAATTTTCTGGAGATAAATCTGATTCAGTAAAGCTTCCTGAGAGATCCACTTGTATCTGTCAAATGCTGAGGTGCAAATAATTCTGGGAGGTTACCAATATGGCAAAAATCCAAGGTAAAATCTGTTAGATTCATGATTCCCTTGATCCTGGTATTCTATTTTGATTGTGATTAATCTTAATCATTGTTCTAGATTCATTTCGGTAGAATTATCCCTCCAAGAGTGGATAGATTCATTTCAGTGTATGATCATTTCCACAACATCAAATCTGGCTGCATTGACAAGTATTGATCACATTCACCTCTTTTCAGGTTCTGGTAACTCCCCATCTGCAATCAATTATGTTGATTCTTGTGTTGGATGTTTGTCCATATATTGCTGAAAATTTCCAATAAGTTTAATTTTCTGTTTTGTAATTTTGGTTTTCATATGGTGATAGACTTCTTAGAGGAGTACACTGACTTGAGTAGTAGTAGCAAAGTGAAAAAGGTTATAGCCAAATCTACTTTCTATTATGCCATCAACCAGATGATTCATGCAGGTAGTTACATAAATTGTGCTGACTTACCACATACTTCTGCGTCTACCATGATGAATTCAGGATGGATTTATGTGTGGTAGTTGGACTAGGGGCCATAATTCTTCACTTCTTCTAGCAAAGGAATTTCTGATTTCCTCTCTCATTAATCGTTATTACAACAGAATTGGAATGTCATCTGTAATCATAAGACCTTCATTGCATTATCTTTTTTTCCCTTTCCATTTGGTAGATGTATTATTCAACATTTTGTACTTTTTTCTTTCTCATGAATTGAGAATCTTGTTTCTCATAACAAACAAATACAACCCTTAATAGAACTTACTCTCCTTCCTAATATAAGAATTGCAGTTAATTGATAAGAGGGAATGGCAAATTGTCAATGAGAAAAAAGATTTAACACCGCAACTTGTTCAGATTGTCTTGTTTAATTTCTTTAACTCTTGGTCAGCTTCTGCAGATACTTCAATATGTTGTGCATCAAAGCCTAGAGATGTTAATAACCACCACAGATAGAAGTTTTGAGATAGCAGGAGAGAACAAAATACAAGAAATCAGGATTCTCTTAGTTAGTAGGCTTCTCATAATTTCACGATTAGTTAGTAGCCTTTTCTTCCATGAATTTCTTTGGGCTTTCAATTCTGTAAGTTCTCTCTCTCTCTCTCATAATTTTTTAAGTTACCTTTCTCTGTCTCTCTCATATTTTTCTGTTTATCTACTTTGTGTTTTACTTGTTCTTATTTTGTTATATGACATCTTTGTTCAATGCTCAATCAACTTTGTTTAGTCAGATTTTTCCTCGTAGTTGTGTTGTGTGTACTTGAGTCAACTTGATTACCTCTTTTATTCTTGATAAATCGTTGGCAATATTGAACTTGATCTTTATATTAAGTCATTCAATTAGCATATCCTTTCAACTATTTTTTTGGGTCACATCGTTCTTTCGTTTCTTGAAGTTATAATTGTTTCAAGATTAATTTTATTGTGTAAAGTCTGAATGCTGTTCAATAGGAGAGTATTTTGCTCGCTCAAACTTGTGCATGGAATTGAAGTTAAAAGTTCTAATTGTGGCATGCATGAATTAGTTTTTTTACATAAGATCATGTATGAATTATTTCAATTGGATTCTTTCCCTACTCTTGGATATTGGGATTTAACATGATGCAGAATCAATTGTTTGCTAGGTTAGAAGCCCCTTCCCTCTCTTTCTGCGTTGCTGTCTTCTGTCTATGTGGACATAATTGTCAACTCAGAGCGAGAGAGAGAGAGTTTTAGTTTCCATTCAGTTGCCAATATGCTGCAACATTCAGGTAGGAAGGCAAATGGTTCTTTATCATAATTACTCGTATCTTTGATGTGAAAAGGATTTTCAAATCCATAGGTGATTCACGTAATCAAATAACTTGATTGTCTTGTTTGTCTTTAAATACAGTTTAGGTGCTTTCTTGAAACAAAGATCAAACTGAAGGTTGGAATATGTTCTCATCTGTAATGGGAAGGAATGTTACCTTTTTTTGTTTGTTAGCTGAAAGTCAATCTATAACTTGAAATGACATTGTGATGGGTATGTACACTAAACTTGGAGCATAATCATGGTTTGAAAAACAACCATCTCATAATTATAAAAGCTACTTACCAGTTTTCAATTGTAATGACAGAGCACCCAAAACACAAAATTTGACCATCCCGGTAACGTGTTGCTTTCTTCTTTCTTTCTCCTCTTCACATTCCCCTTTTAGTTTGTGTTTTTTTGTTTTTGGTTTTAGTCGTTAAGTGATCAGAGCTTGCTTTAACTGTTACAAAATCCTGGACTAGGACATCAATTTATGTGTCAATTGCTGTTTTTCATAAAGGGTTGATCTGACCTGCATCTCCCCATCCAAAAACGTCCTTATTTTCTCAAACGTAAGTCTTGTTTCATCCGTTATATGTATGATAGTTATTCCACTTTTGCTATACCAAACACATGCTTCTGCTGTAATGCACGGTTTTGTTTAAGACTGCAGGAATAATGTTACATAGCGATCTAAGAGGCATTGATTTTCCATTGGTTCAATATTGGCTAGAAGTTATTTCCTGTTGCCTTACCTCGATTATCCAACAGTGAACTGATTGCTTCTTGTTGTTGTGGTGTTTATTGAGCTTGTTTACCAAAAGGAAAGTTCAGAGAGGTTTTACAAGAGAAGGTGATGCCGCAGCCAACAGTTTAGCTACCAACCAGAAATGTTTGTGATATGCAGAGATGAGTTTCAGAAATAAAAGACATTTTTTGAAGGAGGTTGGTATATTTCTCTAGTAACATCTTTTTACTTGGAATTAGCACGATCACATTGTTCTTTCTTGTTCTTGAACAATATCAATTCCAAATGGATCTTCTTTGAAGCTGTTCTTAAACTAGTGATATCTACTCTACTTGGGTCATGCTTTTCTTTCAGGTTCCTTGAAATTATTGCTGTTAAAGATAATGCTTCACGTTATTGTCTGAAGACTACTGTGTTGATTTATATCCGAGCCAATGAAACTCATCCATGGTAAGAGTGATACATTTTTTCAAAGATATGTTCTTTCTATGTCAAAACTAACTGTCTCAATTCTGTTTTTTTTTTTCCTCTTTAGGTTGTGGTTTAAGATTATCTAAAATTAATATTTTGCCGGGTTAGAAGTTCTGTCTCTCTCTATGTCCCTGGGCTGTCATTCTGGCCAAAGACATAATTGGCAACTCAGGGTTGGATAGTGTAGGTTTCCCAGGTGCAAAAGTTGATTTGGATTGTTTTATCTTGTTTACCTTCGGTTGCTAATAGCTGCAAGCTCAGGTACTGATGTCAAAAGCCTCGGGAAATCAGGAATTTTCAGGTGTTGTCATAATATGTACAAATCCTTGATGAGAAAAAACTGGTTCACATTTTCATATAGTTTGATTATCTTCTTCAATTTCTTTCTCCAGGTCTGTTACTGTTGCAAGTTTTATCTGGCACAGCAAGAGAAACAGCTCTTGCAATTTTGGGAAGCAAAGCTGTGCCATCTGATCAGGTTGCCCTTCTCGGACCCCAAGGCATAATTGAAGAGCTTGACTCAAAAAGCAAAGTCCCAACCGAGGATTTAAGGTTTGAGTTGGTGCTTTATTCAACTGTCAAGTATGGTGAAAGAGCTATGAGAAAGACAGGACATGGTATCAGAACACAGACCTCCTGCTCTTTGTCTTTCTCTCTCTCGCTGTGCCAGCCCTCTCTGTGGACCAAAGAGTCACATGGCTCAATTGCTGTGTAGCGTCGGTGAGCCAGAAGAGAGAGTTGAGTTTTTTTTGGGCCCGGGAGCTTTGAATTTTACCAAAAGAAAGGGCAAAAAAGGACTAAGAGAGAATAGTTTTAAAATTTATGAGTAATAATATTTTATTCTACTAATTTTATAATTCTAGGTTTGGAAATAGTGTTTCATTTTTCATTTTTTTTTGTGGGTATTATTATTGCATAATGTGGCTGTTTTTTTTTTGTTAGTTACAACAACAATTAATTTATTTCATTAGGTTTACAAATTTGACTAATCAATAATATAACTTAGATCTAGTTTGAGAATTTAATTTCAGGATCTAATATATTCTGGCCATTAGATTGATTGTGAGCCCATTAATTTTATGGCAACAATGAATTAGGTTGCTAAATTAATTTCCAAATTAGGTCCAACTAATATTATTTTTTATTAATATGTCTCCGGTAGCACTTTATACATCATTTTCACTACAATTAACGTGTTAGATGATGTAATTTTGACAAATGATGCATGCTTTTTAGATTTTTCATGAATTTTTTAAATTTTTTTGGTCTTTCTAACTAGTATTTTGTGAGTATCGGCTGATACTGTGCTACAACGTTTCGACTGATGTGTCTCAATGCCTTTAGAGTCGACGGGCAATACTGGGGCCTTGAACCATGGTTGTGATGCAATCTTAATTTAATCATCTTTCTTTAGAAACAGCGTTCTCTAAAGTTTTTTACTTGGATTTAACATGATCACATCTTTCTTTCTGTTGTTAAACAAGATAAACCTCAAATCAATCTTTCTTTGTAGTCGTTCATAAACTGGTCACATCTACTCGATTAATTTTTGTGGCTGACATCATCTTTCTTACATGTTTATTGAAGTTATTATTGTTCAAGATAAATGTTTCACAACACAAATTGAATGTTCCAGAGTTGATTTATATTAGACTGATTCATTCACTCAAACTCACCCATGGAGATAGCAATTCATTCTTTCAGAGAATCACCATTTTGTTGATGCTTTATTTACTATGATGATCCAAAATCCATTTTTTGCCAGCTTAGAAGCCCTCTCCCCCTTCCCAGTCATTTTGTGTGCAGACAGAGAAAAAATTGGCAACTCAGGGTTGGACAGAAAGGGTAAAAGATAAAACAAGTTGAATTCAAATTGTTTTATCTTTTTTATCTGCAGTTGCCAATATGCTGCAAGCTCAGGTAGAATGGTCGAAAAGCTCATTGGAATCAAGTCTTTTCCATTTACATCATATTTTACTCTAAGAAACTAGTTCACATTATATTTTAGTTGATTGTCTTGTTTGATTTCTTTAACTCGAGGTCAGGTTTTGTCATGACTCCTGAAACAAAAAACTTCAATATGTGGTGCATCAAAGTGATCAAGGCTGTTCATATGTTTTCTCTAATGAGAGGAATGAGTTGGAACAATTTTATTTTTGGAGTTGCAATTTCGGGTATGCCTTGTAGAAAGAGCTGAACTATTACTCTAGTTCCTGTGTCTGTGCCATTCTGAAAGAAGCATTTAGCACCTCAATCCTGCAAGCTCCCTATCTCTATTCGGTAAGTTCCTTCTTTCACTTGCTCAAATTAAATTTTTTTTTTTCTGTTTATCTTCTCTGTGGTATGTGTGCTCTTATTTTTTTATAATAGAATTGCTTTTTAGATCAACTTTGTTTAGTCTGGTTGTTCCTTACATTTGTTTTCTCAAATTAACTTTGTCACATTTTTCATTTGCGTTTCTTCAACCAAATCTATCTTTGAAGCCAGTCAATCAGTCACATCTATTCAACTAATATTTTTTTGTAACATAGTTCTTTCTCATTTCGTGAAGTTACTATAGTTCAAGACTGATGTTCTAGTCAGAAGGACCAATCTTGTCGAGTAACCATTTTGAGTGGGTGTACGAGACTAAGCGTAATACGAGAGTATTTTGCTTTCCCAGACTTGTGTATGCAATTAGAGGTAAAAGTTGTAAGCTTGACATGCATGGATTATTGCAGTTCCATTTTTTATTTTCTCCTATTGTGATTTAATGGGTTCCAAAAATCGAATTTTTATCAGATTAGACACCCGCTGGGGGTCTGTCTTGGCTGTACATTTCTGTCTGGCATTGACAACTGAGTGAGTGCATGAAGGAGTTTCCCATAGGTTTAAATTGAATTGGGTTGTGTTATCTTAATTTCCCTTTAATTGCCAATATGCTGCCACCTCAGGTGGCAAGGTTGCTTTTGTTAGAAAAAGATATTCAAAACTTCAACTAGTTGACATTATCTTGTAATTTGGTTTTCTTGTTTGATTGTTTTAATTACAGATCACGTTTTTTTTTAAACAAAGATCAAATGAAGGCTAATTCCCATTCATATGTTCTATGTAATTGGGAGGAATGAGTTAGACTAACTTTTTTGTTTGTTTGTTAGACACACCCTATAACTTGAATCGATTTGTCTGGGTTCCAAATAAGCTTTAGAGTTTAGAGTTATTAAACACTTCATTCCAAGTAAAATGGCAAGATGGATGAGATTCATGAGAAGGGGTGATTTGGGATTATGTGGAGGATTTAAATGGTTGTCTATGGAATGAGTTTTGTTTGTTTTGTTGGATGAATTTCAAGAATTAAATCACATTTTTTTTGGGTGTAGGGTCATGAAAAGAAATTTGTATAGAAATGTCAAGAGATTGATGTTGCCAATCGAAGTGTTGGGATAGCAGGGGACATACTTTTAGTCTAATTTCTGCTGTTGTTCGTGAGTCAATAAGCTGTTTCGGGAATTCAAGTACTTTTCACTGATACGTACACTAAGAGCATCTCTAATAGACTCTTTATTCCCACTCAATTCTCTATTGTAAAGAGTCAACCCTTAAAATTTCTTCCCCAATTGACTCTTTATTTAGACTCTCTAAAATAAAAAAGTCCAATTTGACTCCCTACATTTGGATAGTCAAATTCACTCTCTACTCTATTTTTTTGGAACAATTCATCCAAGATATTTAGAAGTTTTACTATTAAGCACTTCATTCTTATGTGAACCTTTCTATCTGTTGGCTTAGCCTCTGATCATTCCTAATATATCTAGAGGACGGAGGTTAGGTGGGAATGAATTTCTTCTTCTTTTGGTCATATTCTATACACTCAGAATGATAGCCTGGGTTAATTGAAAACTAAATGCTAGTTTAGATTGTGGGTTAATTGCACACATCTCATGTTTGGATTTATAACTTTGGATGCAATATATGCTTTGTAGCACAGAAACACACTTAGTTTCTGTGATTCTGACGTTCAGAAAGAAGCATTTAGCACCTCAATTCTGTAAGCTCTCTCTCTCTCTCTCTCTCACACACACACACACACATGATTTTGTAAGTTCCATTTCTTTGTCTCTCTCATATTTGTTTCAAGACTAATGTTATATGCTGTTCAATAGGACAGTATTTTGCTTGCTCAATCCACCCCCAAGTGGTTGCATTGCATACCGGAAAATTAAAATGTTCAATATACTCACTTTTGATGCTACCACTTTTATTGATAAGCAATGTCAATTATTTTTTATCGTTGTCCTTTGGATATTCATGTAAGTGTGTTATTTTTCTTGCTTTATTTTTATTTGTTTAAATGATTGCTGTCCTATTTCCCACACACAAAAAAAGCGGTCCTAGACACTAAATCTGATCTTTCAAAATAGGGAAATGCTCTGATATTGCTTGTATCTTTGAAAAGTATGACTCTGCTCATTCTCTGTACTGCCCTGTGCCCAAGAGCTGCAAATTATGTTATTTGTTGGAGCCTAATGTTGCGACTTGAATTGTGATATTTTAACGAAATTTTAGCTTATTTTTCCCCAGCTATGTAAGCATGATTTCTATTGTTGGTGATGGCAGTGTTTGGTTTGATTTATATGTGTCTTAAAGAGCAAATAATTGTGAGATTGAATGAGGGTTTTCATACTTAGTTTTTTTTTTGGCATACAGCTTGTAGTGATGGAGGGGCTGGGTATTCAAGATGGATGATGCTTCAAGTAAAAGCTTTAATTATGTTTTTTAACTACCCTTGATGCCTAAAGAAAAAATATTCCTTGGGTGCCTGACCATTTATTTTCTCAATGTTGCCCATGCCTAGTTTTTTCTCCATTTCACTATTCTAACCTATTGAATTTTTGGCAGATTTCTAAGAATTAATTTGCCTGCTGTAGGTCATCCAATAGCAGTTGCATTTGTTGACGCCACCTCTTCTGTAGTTGTGGCTTCCCAAGCTCTTTATGGTTCTTCTTTATACAGGTATGGAGAAGAAAAGCCCAAAACTTCTGGCCCAAGCTTCCTCCCCCTGAAATTAAGTGGCAGCATTATAAAGTCCACAATAAAAAAGCTATAATCTCTCTAGTTGGAACTACAACAACTTATGGCAATGCTGATGGGAGTACAATCATTGCATCATGCTCAGAAGGTATATGAATTCATCGTGTCATATTGTTTTTAATTTCTGTAAATTAAATAAATTTGTCGGGGGAGCGTTTAATTTTTGGTTATATATCATTCAGAGAAGACTGGGAATTTTATTTTTCTATGCAAGTTCAAAATAAATGTAATTGATGCTAATCCATTGGTCTTATTCCTAACTATGCCCAAATTTATTTGACAAGAAACTTTGTTAACTCCTATCAATAAAAAATCCAGTTATTGATAGGGTAATTATTTGGCCGAACTTGTTCTCAACTGAATGGGTAGTTTTTGTAAGTTGCACCCTATTATCTCCCTTTAATTAGCCACCTTTTACCTTCTCTTTTGCGTTAAGTGGGATTCTATGTAAAATTTTTGTGGTTGAGATTTTGTTGAAGTCTTTTTGTTCATTTTGAGTGGATTGCCAATTTTTTTTTATTTTTTAGGGACTAGTATCATACTTTGGCATGGGAAATTGGGAAGATTATGGGGAATATTGATACAAATCTGCTCAAAAACACCATGGCAGAGATGTATCCAAATGGGTGTTTAGCTTTTACCGACGATGTGAAGGTGATTCTTGAATATTTGAGGACAATTTGTTGCATGAGGTTTTCACATTGATAGTATGCTTTTTTTTTACCAAATAATAGAAAAATAAGAGTTGTGGAACATTTACATATGCCCACTGGCTCGATTAATTATCATGCCCCGCCCCTAGTAGAATGGGGTTGAGGGCTTGAGTCTTATAGAAATTTGCAAAGCCAAGCTTGGCTTAGGGTAAGTTTTGTTAGCTCCATTCGTCCTTACCCAATTATGAGGCTCTCTTGCCCTAATGCCCAATTATCTTGATTTAAGGGTAATAACCCCTTCCTTATATGGTTATTCAATTTCATTTTATTCAAGGGCTAATTATTTTCTTAGGTTATAGTTTTCTTACATATGAGCTTTCCATATATATATTCCAAGTTCCAACAACAAAACAATCACTACAAATTAGATGACATAAGCACTTCAATCTTTAGTTCTCCTTCAATGAGGGATCATAACTCAATAGTGCGAGGGACTACCTCCACTGCAAACTTTTGAAAGATTGATATAGAGTTCAACATAAATGATCCCCTATATGACATCCATGTGGTGAAGTTTCTTGTTTGCTCTAGTTATTCCATTCTAGAGACAAAGAATTATAGCTTCCAATGCTGTGTTGAACAAAAATAAAAACATGGACATGGAAAGTTTCATCTTATTGTTTCTAGCTTGATATACATTGCATATCTTTTTTTCCCGGAATATTGACGGTTTATTCTTGAATATATTAAGTTTACGAACAATTGCTTATCAGTTACACTATTTGATATACAATACCTTGAAGTTTTGGGTTCAAGTCTCACTATCAATGTATTCATGCACCAAGTTTATGTTATATGTATATCATATTGACACACCTGATTTTATGCCTCTACCCACGTGAACGGAAGTCTCACATGAGGGAGTGTGTCAAGAGCTTGATGTATATATTGCATCAATTCCTTTAATAGCTTAAACTCTGAAGAGTTTTAATAGTCTTAACATTAAAATGTGAATGATTGGAAAGAGAATAGGAAACAAAATTCAAATATTTCAACTAATATTTTAGGGAATCTAATAATTGCAAATTTTGGTAGCTTTAACATTTTTTGCAGTATGTTTTCATATCTTTGACTTTTCATGGTCAAATGAGTGATAAGTAGAAGGTCACCACAAAACTAAGATACCAAACCCCAAATCCTAAACTCTACAGAGAGAGATAAAGTCCAACTGGGATTCAAAGGTTTTGTGTATTAGTGTGTTTTGGTGTATTCGTGTGAGTTTTTTGGTGTATTAGTGTGTGTTTTGTTGTATTAGTACATGTGTGTCTTTGGTGTATTAGTATTCCTGTGTATATTTTGGTGAATTTATATATTTGTGTGTTTTTAAGTATATTATAGTGTGTGTTTAATTGCTTTGTTGTATTAGTGTGTATGTATTTTTAATGTATAAATATATATGTTTTGATGCATTTGCATATTTGTGTATGTTTATTTTAGTGTATTAGTATTTGTGGGCTTAGTGCAACTGTAAAGTTGTTTCATTATGACCTGGAGGTCACTAGTTCGAGTTGTGGAAACAGTCCCTCTACTTGCTGAGGCAAGATTGTGTACATCCCTCTACTTGCTGAGGCAAGATTGTGTACATCTAACCCTTCTCAGACTCTGCAATGACGGGACTTTCGTGCATTGGGTATGCTTTTTAGTCTGTGTTTTTAGTGTATCAGTCGATTGTTTTTTTTTTTTGGGGTGGTGGTGTATTGGTATATTCGTGTATGTGTTTGTTTTAGTGTATAGGCCAATATTTTTGTTGTGTTAGTGTGTGTGTTTTGGTGTATTCTTGTGCGTATGTGTAGTTTGGTTTATTAGTATATATGTGTGTTTTTTGGTGTATTGGTGTATGTTTGTGTGTGTGCTTGTGTGTTTTAGCTTATTAGTATATGTATTTTTGTGTATTTGTTTGTTTCGATATGTTAGTGTGCATTTTTGTGTGCCTTTGTGTTTTGTTTCGGTGTATTAGAGTGTGTATGGTTGTGTGTGTGGTGTATTAGTGTGTGTTTGTTTATTGTGTATTTTTTTAGTGTATTATTGTGGGTGTGTTTTGAGCATTAGTGTGTGTGTTTTGATGTATTACTGTGTATATTTTTGTGTATTTTAGTATTTGTGTGTGTTTTGGTATGTTGAGTTTACATTTTTGTTTATTTTTTCGCGTGTGTGCATTTTTTTTTTGTGATTTAGAACTTTTGGTGTATTAGTGTGTATTTTTTGGTGTATTTTTGTGTTAGTTTGTATTTTTTTTATATATTGATCACCTAAAAAATGGAAACGTTGTGGTTTTGAAAATATAATAAAAACGNCATTTTTGTTTATTTTTTCGCGTGTGTGCATTTTTTTTTTTTGTGATTTAGAACTTTTGGTGTATTAGTGTGTATTTTTTGGTGCATGTTTGTGTTAGTTTGTATTTTTTTTATATATTGATCACCTAAAAAACGGAAACGTTGTGGTTTTGAAAATATAATAAAAACAAATAAAAAATTTAGGAATTTATTTTAAAAACATTTCAAAACATTGGTTTAAATATATTTAAACAAATCAAAATATTCCGAAACATTAGTGGGAACATGCTTAAACAACTCGAAACATTAGAATTTTGATTTAATTCACTGATTCATTTTGGTATCCTTAGAAAAGAAAACGTTCGNAAACATTTCAAAACATTGGTTTAAATATATTTAAACAAATCAAAATATTCCGAAACATTAGTGGGAACATGCTTAAACAACTCGAAACATTTGAATTTTGATTTAATTCACTGAATCATTTTGGTCTCCTTAGAAAAGAAAACGTTTCAACCATTTCGAAACAATATTTTGATCCTTGGTAGAAGTACGTGTTTTGGTGTAATAGTTTTTTTTTTTTTGTGTGTATTAGTGTGTGCTTTTTATGATTTGCTTGTTTTTAGGATGGAAGGCAATGGAATTTTTTTTGTCTAATCATGCCTAGAGATGTTAATAACCACTGCAGATAGGAGTATTGAGATAGCAGGAGAGCACACAAAATACAAGAAATCAGGACTATCTTAGTCAGTAGCCTTCTCATTTTCAAAATTTTCAAGGTTAGTTAGCAGCCTTCCCTTCCATGCATTTCTTTGGGCATTCAGCTATCCAATGCTGCACATTGTAACAGGCCTCTATCTGGAGCAATCCTTTTAATTGAGGGGTTAAGTTTCGTCCTACTTGTTTTTCTGTGGAGTGGGTCTAATGGTGGTCTCTGCCATCTGAGAGCGTTATACCATCAAACTGGACAACAGCCTTGAAATGGATTAGAGGCTCTCCGTTAATGTGGTAGCATCAGAAGTGTGCATATCTTGATGATCCTTTTGAACAACCTTTTTTCATTTGATGTTAAAAAGATGCCCTCATTTCAAATGGTGACTATTGGTGTATGGCATATGATAATGTGAACCTTTCTCTCTGTTCTTTCCTTGTTTTCTGTTGGCTTAGCCTTTGATCAATCCTAATTTATCTAGATCTAGAGGACGGAGGTCATGGGAATGAATTTCTTCTTCTTTTGGTCATATTCTATACACTCAGGATGATAACCTGGGTTAATTGAAAACTAAATGCTAGTTTGGATTGGGTTAATTGCACACATCTAATGTTTGGATTTATTACTTTGGTTGCAATATATGCTTTGTAGCACAGAAACACACTCTTAGTTTCTGTGATTCTGACGTTCAGAAAGAAGCNTTGCAATATATGCTTTGTAGCACAGAAACACACTCTTAGTTTCTGTGATTCTGACGTCCAGAAAGAAGCATTTAGCGCCTCAATTCTGTAAGTTCTCTCTCTCTCTCTCTCTCTCTCTATCTATCTANTTGTAGCACAGAAACACACTCTTAGTTTCTGTGATTCTGACGTCCAGAAAGAAGCATTTAGCGCCTCAATTCTGTAAGTTCTCTCTCTCTCTCTCTCTCTCTCTCTCTATCTGTCTATCTATACACATAATTTTGTAAGTTCCATTTCGTTGTCTCTCTCATATTTTGCTGTTTATCTCCTGTGTGTTACTTGTTCTTATTTTTTTGTTTTATAACATCTTTGTTCAATGGTCAATCAACTTTGTTTAGTCAGATTTTTCCTTGTAGTTGTGTGTACTTGAGTCAACTTGATTACCTCTTTTCTTGATAAATCGTTAGCAATATTTAACTCAACCAATCTTTCTTTTAAGTCATTCAATTATCACGTCCGTTCAACTATTATTTTGGGTCACATCGTTCTTTCATTTCTTGAAGTTATAGTTGTTTCAAGACTAATGTTGTTGTGCAAAGTCTGAATGCTGTTCAATAGGAGAGTTTTGGCTCGCTCAAACTTGTGCATGGAATTAAAGTTAAAAGTTCTAATTGTGGCACGCATGAGTTAGTTTTTATTACATAAGATCATGCACGAA